CTTTGTGTGATTCACAAATTGTTGTTTCGGGTCTGGGTGTCAGGTGTATGTGATATTATTTCTTTGTAAATGCACCCACGACACAGGAGAAAACCCTAGTGTGGGGCACCGTATCAATAAAAAAAAAGTAATCGAAACAAGACCGCAATCGGCCCTCTAATTGGTTGGTTCATTGGAGTAGGCCAATCAGAGCGCTGAACCCGTGCTGCATAATACGCGTACTAAATAATGCAATATGTTGCATTAGCACTGTGAATGTTTCATCATTATGTTTCATTAAATCATCTATCATCCTTTCGTTAAATCATAATTGGGTACATACGGATGGATTGATATAATAATAATAACTCCAGGGAGAAGTCACCGTATTTTATTATCCGGCTTGCCCTAGGTGGCTGGTGTCAACGATAAAGAGGATCAGGTATTCCACCTCTGGCTTGCCTTAATTGGCTGGCTGGAGTGAACGATGACGAGGAACTTCATTTACTATCTAGAGTGGAGTCGAGTTTTAATTTATCAGTTCACAGCAACTCTTCCATAGTCCTACTATTTCCATTATCTACAATAGTTTAACACCAATCAGCGACTGTTGTTAGGTGCATTTCCATAGTGCATAAAGGGATTGTCTCCGGTTAGTGTCCTCGGACACTCAAACAAACAGACCCCGTATTTCAGCATAAAGAAGTTCTTGTTTTTAATCCGCCAAGTACCTAATAGATGACTGATAGATCATAAAATCCCCAAGATAATTATGAATGATACATTAAAATATTGACCAATATTACGCAATATTAATTTCACTAAAATGTCAGTATTTATCCGCTGATGGTTATCTAGTTAATCAGTTACGTACATTATATAAAGTAGTGATTTGCCAATCAAATTCCAATCTAAAACGATGCGTGAAAACGTTTGATATCTTTTTCATGAGAGTACTCAGTATACCTGAGATACCCTGAGACTATAATATTCCTTTTTTTTAAATGGTAATCGTCTAATAGACCACAGTGTAAGATTTACTTAGGTAGGAACATATTCTAAGTTAAATCTAATATTTTAAAATCATTTAAAAGCATTGTTAGGCATCATGCGTCTAGCATCGCACACTGATATTGTAAGTAAGTAATTCAGACTAAGTCCCCTTTAAAGGCTCATTCAAACTATGTGAACAATTTCTGGGTACAGTGGGGTTTACTGTGTTCCTCACTCTTTTCGGTTTAATTTTAGAATTTTAATTTTCGGTTTGTTTTTATTAGATACTTCTTAGATGAAGATGACCTGATGATCCTACGTATATGTTAGTATACCTAATAGCAATCGGTCGCTTATTTATGCATTCCCATCCAAAGCGTGTAACTTTTAAAATTTTCCAGTAAAATAAACAAAACGAATCAGCAGAAAATACATAGTGCACTATTTGGAAGCTCGTTTATAACGTCAAGACCTTATTGGTCGAGCGATGAAACTTGTGATGAATGCACCGGACACGCGGAAAATTGGAAAACGCGACGGTCACTAGCAACGCGCCCCGAGGGACCGACTCGCAAAACTACGCTTTTGATTCGCAATTGAGAAGATTCCTCGCATGGAAATTCGTTTATTTTAAGCGGACTTCGTTCTACAACTTAACGTTTTTATTTGTGCAGAAATAGTGTGAGGAGAATATTGTAAATTACTTTTTAAAATATTAAATCTATTTCATTTTCGTCTCGCGGCAAAACAACTTACCATAAGGAGTACTTTTGAGGTATAAAGTAAAAACAAAAAATTAAAGTTTTTTTTTTAATGGCTTAAGCCGGTAAACGAGCAGACGGATCACCTGCTGGTAAGCAATCGGCACCGCCCATGGACACCTGGAACACCAGAGGCGTTACAAGTGCGTTACCGGCCTTTTGGGGATTAGGAGTTTGAGGATCGTTGGGGATTCAGGAATTGGGGAGATTGCGGAAGGGGAGGGTAATTGGGCCTCCGGTAACCTCACTCACACGACGAAACACAACGCAAGCGTTGCTTCATGTCGGTTTTCTGTGAGGCCGTGGTATCACTTCGGTCGAACCGGCCCATTTGTGCCGAAGCATGGCTCTCCCACACTTAATTAGATGTAATTTTTCTTTAGTTTGAAAAAAAATCTTGGTAATACGCTTATGAAACACTAGACGTAAATTTGTAGGTACTATTCACATTGCACGTGCCACCCGACGAGAAATACCAGGCGAATAAAATTCGAGAATTACATGGCGTGATGTTTTCATAATGTACGCTTTCCAAGTTGCTTTTTGCAAGGGTTCACCAATTATTTATTGTTTTAAACATTTCATTTCTTTGTAAAACCTTTGAATTACCAACACAGAATCATTTTACTTCGGGACGAAAACTAAATAAATTTCACGGTGTATTTATTGTTTATAAACATAGGTACATATGCTTCTAACTTTTTGTGACATCTAAATTAATATTTTCTTTATGAAACATAGTAAATGTTCTTCAGCCCTTAGTAGAAAATAACGCAGACAGTCTATATACTTACTTTGATTGAATACATATTGAAATAGAATAAAAATAGATTTAATTAGAGATCTGAACAGCATTTTGATAAAGTAGCACGTTCAATTTAACCAATTTTATACGTATTTTGAACTATGAGTACAAATAGCTGATATTGTCTCGACGTGGCCCGTTCCGACGATGAACTTCGATTTGCAGAGAAAAAAAAATTAAATTATTAAATAGATTTTACTTAGCACAGTTCACGACCCATAGAAAGAATAGGGGTGATGGCTGATGATGACTTAAATAGATATCGACATCTTGGTTATAGTTTTTACTGCAAATATCAATTCAGTTAGTCGTCAGTGTTCGTCCGCGTAGAATATTAATTTTAGAAAATACCTTATTTTTTGTTTCTATTTCCCAAAATAATAGTAGCCTATGTTACTCTTTAGTACATCAGCTACCTGTCAATAATAGTTAGTCTTGCAAAATCGGTCCAGCCATTCCAGAGATTAGCTAATAGAAACAGACATACAGTACATACGTTCATTCGGAGTCGCGGAGAACCTTACGGGTTACCGGGGCTCCGGCTCGAAGCGCAGGAGAAAGAACGGGTGGTTTTTAGTCAGTAAGAGTCTGACACTCCCTCCCGCTTCACCCAGGCGGGAGCAGTCTTTCGATTATTTCCCCCCCTTAAAAAATACATTCCTACGTACATACGTACGTTATGTGTATACATACCTAAATAACATTTTCTTTAAGTTATTTATGAAGTTACGTATGTACGTACGTATGTATTTTCACGTATTATATGCATGTATTAAAAAGCGGTTATTTTACTATCACAACCAGACACTCCAATTTTATTTATCTGTATAGATTTGACTCGGCCATTCTTCCCAAAATGTTAAACTTCTTTTAGGAAACATATAGGCACTCGTTGGATGCGATTTAAGTTTCCCTGTCCCCCGTAATCCTTGGCACAGTTCTCGTGTCACCCAAAGTTCAACGCTCAATGTGGTTTATTGCTATACGACTCTGTTTTGTTGGCGGACCCTTGCTATAGTTAGCTAACCTCTCTACAATTTACTTATAAAGTTTAGTTAGGGAGACATGAGAGCGTTTGTTTTGTAAACCGTCATCGATTCATGGCAGATGCCCCACCCACACGCACGAAGCGGTTCGTATCAAGCTTCCTTGTGCGTACAGCTAAGGAGTGGAATTTTTTGCCAGTGTCTGTATTCCCTGAAGGGTATAATCTGGGTATCTTCAAAGGCTCGAGTGAATAGGTTGCTTATGGGACGACGTGCTCCATCGTAGACCGCATCGTCGCTTATCACCAAGCGAGATAGAGGCTACGTCGGCCCATCACATATAAAAAAAAACCGCTTTCAGATCCAGGTATATCTAAAATAATTTGTCACAATGTTAACGATACAATAAGTAGTACAATAATAATACTATAGCATATTTAACTTGCATCGAAATGGCAAGTTATTTATAAACATTTTTGAGGGGGGAAAATCATCCACTGTCTTCTCCAGCACGAGTGAGGCAAGAGGAGGTGTCAGACTCTTACTAAGTAAAAAGCACCCGTTAAGTATTTCGCGGCTCTAAGTAATAGGTTTTGATGTGATGTTAATAGATTCGAATAGTTAGTCGCTAGTTATTAGTTACGCAGTTCCATAATTCTGGAGGCTTATTAGAAAGAAAATAAAAAAGTTCAACAACGCCTGGTTCAGCTTTATTTTTAAATACATATTTAGATAGGGCGCAGGAGTTAAGCTGCAATCTCTAAGTTTAGATTTACGAGGCTAGATGTGTTAAACCACCATGGTGTTGGGCCACCAAGATACAGGCTGTGCCTAGTTTGGGGCCCACGGCTACGTTTTACTTTATGTTCAACAGGTTTGATAAATGTTTAACCTATTTATATCTGTATAATTATAATGTTAAGTGTGGGAGAGTTACGCTTCAGCATGAGTGGGCCGGCTTGACCGAAGCGGTCCGGCCTCACAGAAAACCGACGAGAAACAACGCTTTCGTTGTGTTTCGTAGTGTGAGTGAAGTTATCGGAGGCCCAATTCCAATCTCCCCAATCCCCAACAAACCTAATCCCCAGAGGCCAGTAACGCACTTGTAACGCCTCTGGTTTCAGGTCTCCATGGGCGGCGCCAATTGCTTACCATCAGGTTATCGTGAGCTCATTTTTTCACTTATACAATAAAAAATATAACCGTGTGTTTATATATAAATTATTATTTAGTAAGTACGAAGTACTTCAGAATTAACAAGCTAAAACCGAATACAAGCGGAAAATTAACGATTATTAGCAAAATTGTGTCTGATCAGTGATCCGTGCTATCTGTTCAGATCATCTGATGTGTTAGTACCTTATTAAATTGATTGTCTCCTTACTTATCTGCTGTGACGATAGTGGTATCAGTACAGAATTGAAGTATTTATACACATTTGAACCGTAATAGTAATTAATTAAGGATCAGGTCAAGATGTGGAAGTGCGTGTTTTCGGTCTGCTTGTTAGTTAGTCTTGTGCTTGCTGATGAGGAGTGGCGGCTCGTGAACATCACTCAGGGTCCTGTACGAGGTCGCTTCGAAGACGGCGTGTACTCCTTCTATAATATTCCTTATGCCTCGGTACCCACAGGAACAGATCGGTTCAAGGTAAATTATATTTAATAAAAACTGTCAATATATCTATTAACGATGACATAGCCAAAATTAACGCTTGTCATTCTTGAATCACTCAATGATATGAAGAAATAGTGAGAATGTTTCACTTTTGCATGTGAGTTATTCAGCGAATCTTATTGTATTTTTAACAGACATTCATTAAAATCTAACATTTTGTTATAATTTCCAGGCTCCTCTTGCCCCGCCTGTATGGTTGACACCGTTCAATGCTGTGGATCGCAGAATCGCATGCCCACAATTTTGGTTAGGGGCTGATGAAGTGAATATTCATGAGAACTGCTTGGTGGCGAACGTATTTGTCCCTGACACGGAGGAGACTAACCTACCCGTACTAGTCAACGTCCACGGTGGAGGCTACATACTCGGTTACGGACAACAATCACACTTTAAGGACCTAGTAAGAAGCAGAAAAATTATTGTACTCACTTTTAACTATAGATTAGGTGTCCACGGCTTTCTGTGTCTTGGCACTGAAGGTGCTCCTGGTAATGCGGGTCTGAAAGACCAGCTAGCATTCCTCCGTTGGGTTAAGGCCAATATAGCCAGCTTTGGAGGCAACCCCAATGATGTGACACTTTCCGCTTGCAGTGCAGGTTCCGGCTCGATAGACTTCTTAACTCTTTCCAGTCTCACTAAAGGACTATATACAAAAACTATACAGGAGAGCGGTGCCAGTATAGGTGGTGTTGGAGCACAAGTGGATCCTATTGAGTACGCTAAAAATTATGCACGACTCCTAAACTTCCACAATGTTGATGATTTGGACCGCTTGGAAGAGTTTTATAGAACGGCGCCCTTTGAGCTACTAGTTTCAAATCCGGATGAAATGTTGAATGCTAAGAACGTTAACATACTTTTCGGTCCATGCGTGGAACGTGACCTTGGACAAGAGCGTGTTGTTACTGATGCTCCGATGAATATCATAAGACAAGGGAACTATACTCAAGTACCTAGGATATATGGATTTACTAACATGGATGGAGCTTTCCGACTCCCGCAATTTGATACGTGGAAGAATGACATGAACGAGAGATTCTCCGACTTTTTACCAGCTGAATTACATTTTGAGAGTGAAGATGTCAGAGAGCAAGTTGCTCAAGAAGTCAAAGAGTTTTATTTTGGCAGTAGTCCTGTTAGTGAGGAGAACATTTTGTCTTACATTGCATATTTTACTGACGTGATATTTGCTGTTCCAATATTAAAATCTGTATCAACACGTATAGAGACTCTTGGTGACACGATATATCTATTTGAGTATTCGTTTGTGGATGAACATACTCCCAGTTTCCCTCATACAGACGTACGTGGTGCTGATCATTGTTTCCAAGAAATAGCAGTCACAGATGAAGATGTGTCTGGCAGAACAGAGGAATATAAACAAATGAAGGAAATTATGAGAGATTACTGGACGAATTTTGTGTTGACTGGGTAAGTAATTTTTGAATATTATTATGATATATATTTAAGTATTGTCATCACATACTTGACCGGTTCATTAAATACAAAAGCCCGACAGTGGTCAGAAAAAAAGGGCTGTAGGAAAATGAATAGTGACCGTGTTCATTTCATAACTCATTTCGGCATTGTGGTTTGGGGAATCGTAGTAACGTTTTTCTATAATTTGTTTACAGTTCTCCATCGAATCCAAACTCTCCTCTGCCGTACTGGCCACCAGCGAATGCGCAACGAGATCCTCATATGTCATTAGGCAGCCGTATTGAACTCAGAAACGACCTTATTCAGGAGAGAATAGCTTTCTGGGATACAATCTATGACAAATATTATCGAGGACCAGTCGTTTATCCTTCGGCCTCTTAAACAGGCAAACAATGAATATTTGTATAAGCAATACCTTTGGGATAATACCGGAATGTGTCTTTTGTCTGGGATATGTAGTATTAATTAATTAGATGTGTTTTGATTTATATTTCTTTATAATTTGTTATTGAGATATTGAATAAATATTTTATGTTTGTGCCTACTAAATCTGCATTGATAACATATACTATTAAAATACTACTACAGTAATAAAAATATGTACCTCGTTGTGGTAACAGCTTATATTTTGTACTCATACAATTCGCATGAGTTGTCAATGTTATGTGAATCTGAGTGGCAAATGGAAGAGCATAAGTGAAATAAAAAATATATATCAAATTCTTTCTTTTAGTTAAATTAAAATTAACTATGCCTAGTTCCGGAGTCAAATCCAAAATTAAACGTCTTGGATATAAACGTCGAGATAAGCTTACAAGTCAGCAGTATAAAGCAAGTCTAATATAACATAATAGATAATAAAGTATTATTTATTACTATTGTTTCAAAGATAGGTTACCTATCTTTACGAGTACATTACTAATAATTACAAACACGTGATTATGCATGGAATCCGGATACTTAAGTTATAAGCACAATAGAAAACACAGGTTATTAAATCTAGGTGTGCATATATAACTACATAGTATACTGGGTACAATAGGGTAGACGACTAATTTTTATTTCAATGTCCGTCTGGTAGATTATTTTAAAATATTACACACGTATTTTTTATTTTCTTACAGAAACAAATACTTTCGACGATATATTGATTTGAAATGTCGCGTGACGTCACTTCTATGTACGTTTTATACGTAAAAGTGACGTAGCTAGTTCCCACTCCTAAACTTTGATGCTATTTATCTAAGTATTGTTTTCTTATACATCAAAATATAAAAATATGTGTCTAATATTTTTTCATCACCTAACTGACGGACTAATTAGATTTTTAATTTTCATACCCTGTCGTCATCCCTATTCTGGACTCCGTGCTATTTACTGTAAAACGAAAAAGCGAAAAAATTTTTGCCCGATATGGAAGTGACTATAAAATAAAGTTAGTAAAACTGAAGAACAGTTTTGAAATTGTTTCTGGAACATTCGATAAAGGTCCCTTACGAATACTATTCGACTTACTCCAAAAGCACTTCAAAACAACGATCTTTCGATGCGAATTTGAGATCTCGAAGTATTTGAAAGCAATTTTTCAGATCATTGCGCAATTCATGTACTTAAGGCCTTTTCAAGATTTTATCACAGCATAAAGTTTGGGGAATTTTCACCCCAAAGTTTATTGCTAAATTTTGGTGCGACGGAGCGCCGTCAAGAGTGCCTTAGCGACCCCTTTTCCTGCCTTTTCTCGCCGTAAATCTGAGTTTCAAGCTAAAAACTGCAGCGCTGAGACATCACTGTACTGGGAAGATGGTGGAATTTAGGTACTTGGTGAATTTATGAATTCTATTACTGCTGCCGGGGACGGTCATATAAATAAACGTGTATTATGAAGAATAGGGTGACGGTATAGCACATTGTTCGTAGTAATTTCATATGAAGACACTATATATATTATTATATGAATAGTTTATATTATTATTACTATAGTAACGAACTGCGATGTAATTAGAAATGTGCTTTGAACATTTATTCTATTGAAATTAAATTTAAATTTAATTGGAATGACTTGCCAATATTAACTTAAATTTTGTTTTTCTCAATATTTTGAGTCTAAGTCACTGATAACAAATTTATCTTAAGAATAATAAAAAGTATAAGTAAATAGAGTAATAAATATATATTAGTCTCTTTATAGGTATATAATAAAATGCGAACGTGTGGATAGAATTTATGAATACCCCTAGCACATCGTTTAGTATTACTGTTAGATTAGATTATCTCTTATATTTTGGTTCTGTACATTCATATTTTTCAATATTTATTTTTATCTTTAAATTAACCAGAATACACGGCTTACTCATGTGACTAATCATTCACGGGTGCTCGATTAGTCTCAACCCAAAAAAGGACTCATAAACTAGTCGGTATCCTCGAAAAATTCCGTAAGTATAATCGATGTATTCTACCTCTAAATAAGTTTAAAATTTTTCATTAATGATCTGGTTGAACAGGCACATGATTTGATTCTCGAGAATGACTGGCCAGAACTTAAGAATGGTTTTGAATGAATCTAAGAATTAAGTAGAAGAATATTTTTAAAAATATGACGTCGCATCGATTCGTAGGTACCTATGAATAGTTTAAGCCAGATTGGTAATATTCTAAAGTTATTATCCTTTGTAAGGACTTCTAATTATACATATTCGGCTATCACATCCTTCTCAATTGCAGTTTTTGCAAATACAATGCTTTTGCGACAGATCTCTAAAATAAGAGCTATTTTTGTAGAATTTTATCTTTCTTAGATTGATAGCTTGATAGGATAGGTACAGATACTTCATTGAGTGCATATATAAAACAAACATTGGACAAGAAGATAATTTCATATAGACCTAGACACTTGCTCGAGATGTGGAAGTGTGTTCTACTTGTATTTTGTAGTATTCTAATATTGGTGCAGGGCCAAGATGATTGGCTACAGGTGAACATTACTCAAGGACCGGTGCGCGGGCGTAAGGATCCTAACGGTGGTCTCTACGTGTTCTATAACATTCCATATGCTACTGCGCCCACCGGGAGAGATAGATTCAAGGTAAATATATCTGTAAATTAATAAAGTATATTAGCAATCGCAAGTCAGCGAAAATGATTGATCTTAGAACATAAATAAAAAACTTAGTGTTACAAACTCTTAAATTTCTACAGGCTCCCCTTCCCCCTCCTGTATGGATGTCACCGCTAGACGCTGTTAATAGAAACATCCGCTGCCCGCAACCCAACGTACTAGAGCACACTCAGGAAGATTGCCTGGTAGTCAACCTGTTCGTCCCTGATACCACAGACACTAATCTACCTGTCTTGGTGTTTGTCCATGGAGGAGCTTTTCAGAATGGTCACGGCCTTTCTGACCAATATCGAGAATTAGTGCGAACCAATAGACTAATAGCAGTTTCATTTAACTATAGAATAGGTGTCCACGGGTTCCTATGTCTTGGCACTGAAGGTGCTCCTGGTAACGCAGGAATTAAGGATCAGGTAGCATTACTACATTGGGTAAACACCAACATTGCCAAATTTGGAGGTAATCCACAAGATGTGACCCTAGCCGCCTGCAGTGCGGGTTCTGGTGCAGTAGATGTCTTAACACTCTCAAGTGCTACGACAGGTCTGTTCCAGAAAGCTATTCTGGAGAGCGGCAGCAGTACAGGAGCTGTTGGTGTAATAATTGATCCCATCCAAAACGCTAAAAATTATGCAAAGGTGCTGAATTTTGATAATGTTGATGATTTAGATAGTTTAGAAGAATTTTACAGAAATGCTCCGTTTCAACTGTTAACTTCACGTGTTGATGAAATAGTAGATAATAAGGATACTGCTGTTCGATTTGCTCCCTGCGTGGAACGAGATATAGGCCAGGAGCGAGTTATTACGGACGCACCAATGAATGTCATTAAACGCGGTAACTACACCAAGGTCCCTTTGCTATACGGATTTACAAATATGGAAGGCGCGATGAGACTTCCTTATTTTGATGACTGGAAAGTTCAAATGAATGAGAAATTCTCAGATTTCTTACCAGCGGAATTGCATTTTGATAACGACGAGGAGAAAGAACAGGTTGCTCAGAGAGTCAAACAATTTTATTTTGGAGATAGCGACGTGAGTGAAGACACCATAGAACAATTTCTTCTGTACTTTACTGATGTTTTATTTGCGTATCCAATGTTGAAATCTTTGTCAGCTCGAGTAGAAGCTCTTGGTGACACAATTTATCTGTTTGAGTACTCGTTTGTGGACGAAGATACACCAAGTTTTCCTCATACTAATGTTCGTGGAGCTCAGCATTGCTTCCAATCAAGAGCAGTTCGTGATCAAGATCTGACTGGTAGAACAGATGCTTACAGGCGGATGGTACAAATAGCCAGAGAATACACACTCAACTTTATACTCACTGGGTAAGAAATACTGATTCTTATTACTTCTTTATGTAAATTTTATTTTCTTTAAAGTAGTCCCTGGAGTATTTTATTTTTTATTTTATTTAGTTTTTTATTCGAGTAGTTAGTAGTTCTAATTTTAGGTTATATGCAACAGATACATACTTTAGTGAATGCTTACTTACTTACATTACTTATTACTTTGTAAGTTTACATATTTGTCTCATGTTTGAAATTTTGAAATTTTAAAGGAATAAAGTAGTAAACCTAAATATCTATAGCATGATGTAACGTTTTGTTTCAGATCTCCAACATCAACCGATGCACGTTTTCCATTATGGCGTCCAGCGAATGCTCAAAGGTCTCCTCACATGTCGATAGGTCCTGTCATAGAGCTGAAGGATGATATTTTGGGAGACAGGGCAGCATTGTGGGACTCCATCTACGAGGAACACTACCGAGGCCCACTAGTCCCTGATGGTTATACGGGTGCCGCCTCATCTATAATGATCTCGAAAATAATAATTTTCATGGCAGTTACCGTTGGCATGTTAAATTGGTGACAAAATTAGAAGCTAGATCTGTGTCTGATATAAATAAGTGTAATTGTTATAGGTAACTGTGAATAAGTTAGGTAAATGTACAAAAATGTATTTGATAAGTATATTAAAATAAGTGTGAGTACTAAAATGGTGCCTTTTTTTTGATGTGATAAAATAAAGAATATCAGATTCGAAGAGTGTTACTAAGCCGTGTGGTGACAGCCGAGTGAAATACCTACATTTTACTGCCTCTATTCTTTTCGCTGATGTCACATGAGGTGACTAGGGGTCTACGCTACTCTATATTGGACAGAGGCTGGGTAGCAGCATTCTATGACACATTTTAAACAGCGGTCTTCAATCTAACACTCTTTGTAGTGGAGGCCCATTGTCTAGCAGCGGAGTGTCACTCACAGCCAGTCATGAGGTTCTCTATCCCCTAAATAAATAATGCATTATAATTAGGAACTAAAATTTATTTAATCATTGATAACTTAATAAAAATGGATCGATACAAAATATTTTTAGTTGATCGCGATATCGCTGATTAAATATTTAATTAATATTTTCCGTCTGACTAAATGATTGATTTAAGTTTTATCTTCTTAATTTTTACATATTACCGATATTTAGCTGATATTAATAAGACGAGAGGTAATATATTTCTCAGTCACGTCTATGGTTATTGAGAGAGCAGTAAGCCATTCAAGATGTGGAAGTTGGTGGTGCTATTATTTTGCTGTTTAGCAATTGTCTTGGGCGATGATTCGCGCGTTGTGAGTACAGCGCAAGGACCAGTGCGCGGCCGTCTGCTCCCCGGTGGAGGGGTCTACGGATTCTACAATATTCCATACGCATCTGCCCCAACTGGAGCTGACAGATATAAGGTAATTTTTATATATTTTTTGGAAACCTAATCGTTTAAATTTCGATTTATAGAATACGAATTTTCTGTGGAAATTTTAATCCCATAATGTAATAGAATTATATTATGATGATAATTTTAATTACACACAATTTTACACAAGAATATAATTTGCTATTCACAGTAAATTTAAAAGCTACACTTAGTTGAAATACGGTACTTATTTAACGTTCAGAAATAAACGAAATATTTGATAATTTTGTGCAGGCACCCCTTCCTCCACCAACATGGGTCACAATTTTTGAAGCTGAAGATCGCAAGATTGTATGTCCACATCGGCGATCTGGTGATCCTATGAATGCACGGGAAGACTGTCTGGTGGTCAACGTGTTTGTTCCCGATACAGATAATACTAACTTACCTGTACATGTCTTTGTTCACGATGGAGCTTACCAATTTGGTTTTGGTTTACAGAAAACATTTACAGAGTTAGTAAGAAGGCAAAATATAATTTCAGTATCTTTTAACTACAGATTAGGAGTGCATGGCTTCCTATGTCTTGGTACTGAAGCTGCTCCTGGTAATGCAGGACTGAAGGATATGGTAGCACTCCTACGTTGGGTAAACACAAACATTGCTAGTTTTGGAGGTAATCCTGATGATGTAACTTTATCTTCATGTAGTGCAGGATCTGGTTCGTTGGATTTCCTCACTGTTTCGAGCCTTACTGATGGTCTTTTTAAGAAAGTTATACAGGAGAGTGGCACTGTTATTGGTGCTGTCGGAGCACAAGTTGATCCTATCCAAAATGCTAGGAACTACGCCACGGTACTAAACTTCGACAATGTCAATGATTTTAATAGTTTAGAAGAATTCTATAAGAATGTTACTATTGAGCAACTAATTTCACGAACCGATGCCATATTAAATAATGAAGGCGTTACCGCAAGATTTGGACCGTGTGTAGAACGAGACTTAGGGCAAGAAATATTTATATCAGATTCTCCCATGAATCTATTGTCACGAGGGAACTATACGAAAGTGCCTCGGATGTATGGATTCACTACCATGGATGGTTCAGTGAGATTGAGTATTTTCGACACTTGGAGAGAAATGATGAACGAAAAGTTTTCGGACTTTTTACCTTCGGAATTACACTTCGATAGTGAAGAAGTTAAAGAGCAAGTTGCCCAGAAGGTGAAACAATTTTATTTCGGAGATAGTCCTGTGGATGACCATAATATTGTATCTTACCTAAATTATAATACTGATGTATTATTTGCATTCCCAATGTTAAGAACTCTTTCAACCCGTGTGGGAGCTCTCGGAGATCCGATATATTTGTTTGAATACTCTTTCATAGATGAAAATTCTCCAGTTCTACCGCAAACTGACGAAAATGGTGCGAGACATTGTTCTCAAGAAAGAATAGTCGCAGATGGAGATGTAACTGCTGCTACAAACGAATATAAGCGAATGCAAGAAATTATGAGAGATTATTGGATGAATTTTATATCTAATGGGTGAGAATCTTTATGGTATCAAGTTATGTGTTCATCATGTTCTATTTCTTCAATGCATAATGAATACTTAAGGCAGTAACTTCATACTACATCGACAGTGTCTTAGATTCTTAAAAAATCCCGATTTTGTTCATATGACCTCCTCTTGTCTTCCTTATGTTAATGGATAAACTTTTGGTAAGTGATTTAATTATTTCATTTATTTGTTTCAGTTACCCATCATCTAGTGACCCAAGTTTGCCAACGTGGACGCCTGCGAATGCTCAAAGGTCTCCTCACATGTCTTTGGGTCGACAGATAGTGTTGCGGGATTCCAGTCCTATTCCGGAGAGAGCAGCTTTCTGGGATGAACTCTTCGATGAATATTTCCGAGGGCCCATTATACCTCTAGACACAGATCCCGTTCCTACGACTTCTCCTCCTACTTCTACTTCTACTTCTACTCCTACTTCTACTCCTACTTCTACTCCTACTTCTACTACTACTTCTACTCCTGGCGCTGCTTCTTCTTTAGTTATATCAAACATCATTTTCGTATCTCTATTGTTTTCTTTTTATTTTACTTTGTACTAAGTTAAGTTTTACTAAATATGTAAATCTATTTTATATGTATAATAAAATACTCTTGTAAATATATGTAATCATGTGTAAATGGGTCTATTCATTTAGTCGGTCAAGTCATCCTTACACTCTTAAAGCGTTTTAATCAGGTAATTTGTCATTGAATTTATTAACCTTTCGTGTAAAACAGGGATCCATGTGATCACATGTGATGCAATGTGTTTTCTATTGTGCCATGTGTAGTATGCATTCAAGCGGTTAAATTATTTGTAGAGATTACAAATGTAACTTCGTTTTGGATTTTGAACCAGAGTTCAATGTCATTAACTTTTTACCATAATACTTACACATGACTCTGTTTCCTGTGCTAATACTGACCATTTTAAAATCGAAAATCTTTGTCTAACGATCGACTTAATCGATCTCTATTTATATAACATTACCTATAATATAGGTCAAATTGAGTATGTAGCGACATCTATCGTCATCACCTAAAACTTTTAAATCTTAATTTTCATAATAAAGATTTAAGTGATATCGGTCTGTATTCTTTTGTTTTGACTGCTAAGCCATTTAGGCATTTATCAATTATTCTAATATTTCTGTAATACATAGATCTGAGGGAGAATGTTTTGGGAGAGTATTATGAGGAGTTTTTATTTAGGGTGATAAAACAAAGAATTTCAGATTACTTTGTTTAACAACGATGTGATGATGACAGTAGAGTAGAATATGTTCATCATCTCTATTCTTATTACTGATGTCGTAAAAACTGATTACGGACCTAAAGGTTTGACAAAGGGCAAAAGGGCAGCGGCAGTTTCTGATGAACGTGAAATTGTTTAACTGCAATTTTCTAGTCAAACATATGTACTGTGGCCAGCAGATTAACGTCCCCAGTCTGTCCAATGTATTCATTGGAATTTCAACATATAGACTATAAAGTTGAAGATGTAATAGAGGAAAGCTGAAAAGTATAGGTTGACTTGCTGGTCACTCCACAGGAGGTCCATAATCCAGTAGTGATTTGTCTCGAAATGTTGATAATGTTTATGTTTACCATAATATACAGTAGTCACGATTTCCTCAATCCGGACATAAATAAATAATGCATTGTAATTACCAGCAGTCGTTTAATCATTGATATCTAAATAAAAACCGAACTTGATTGAGATAGCACTGATTAACAACGATATTTTTCAGGCTGACTACATGATTGATTTTAACTTTATCTTTATTAATTTCTATAAATCACCGATATTAATGGGAGGGGAGGTAATATATTGCTCAGTCATATCTATGGTTATTGAGAGAGCAGTAAGCCATCCAAGATGTGGAAGTTGGTAGTGCTATTATTTTGCTGTTTAGCAATTGTCTTGGGCGATGATTCGCGCGTTGTGAGTACAGCGCAAGGACCAGTGCGCGGCCGTCTGCTCCCCAGTGGAGGGGTCTACGGATTCTACAATATTCCATATGCATCTGCCCCCACAGGAGCTGACAGATATAAGGTAATTTCTTTATATTTTTTACAAAACTTCAATGATTTGAGACTATGATTAGAACACGAAAACATTCTGTGGCTATTTTAGTTACGTACTTGTAGACTTAAATCATGGCGTTGTTATACAATTTTACTAGAAAATAAATGCTTTCACAGTAAATTAAAGTACTGTACTTATTAACGTTTAATAATTTTGTGCAGGCACCCCGTCCTCCACCAACATGGCTAACAATATTTGAAGCTGAAGATCGCAAGATTATATGTCCGCAACACTTTGTCACTCAAACTATGAATGTCCAGGAAGACTGTCTGGTGGTCAACGTGTTTATTCCCGATTCAGACGAAACTAATTTACCTGTACATGTCTATGTGCACGGTGGAGCTTATCAATTTGGTTTTGGTTTACAGGAAAAGTTTACTGAGTTAGTAAAAAGTAAAAAAATAATTTCAGTATCTTTTAACTACAGATTAGGGGTGCACGGCTTCCTGTGCCTTGGTACTGAAGCTGCCCCTGGTAATGCAGGATTGAAGGATATGGTAGCACTCCTACGTTGGGTAAACACAAACATTGCTAGTTTTGGAGGTAATCCTGATGATGTAACTTTATCTTCATGTAGTGCAGGATCTGGTTCGTTGGATTTCCTCACTGTTTCTAGCCTTACGGAAGGTCTTTTTAAAAAAGTTATACAGGAGAGCGGTACTGTTATCGGTGCTGTTGGAACACAAGTTGATCCTATCCAAAATGCTAAGAACTACGCCACGGTACTAAACTTTGACAATGTCAACGATTTGAATAGTTTAGAAGAATTCTATAAGAGTGTTACCATTCAGCAATTAATTTCAAGAACTGATGCCATACTAAATAATGAAGGAGTTACTTCACGATTTGGACCTTGTGTAGAACGAGACTTAGGACAAGAAATATTTATATCAGATACTCCCATGAATATATTGTCTCGAGGGAACTATACTAAGGTGCCTCGGATGTATGGATTCACTACCATGGATGGTTCAGTGAGGTTGGGTGTTTTTGACATTTGGAAAGAAATGATGAATGAAAAGTTTTCAGATTTTTTACCATCAGAATTTCATTTTGACAATGAAGAAGTTAAAGAGCAAGTTGCCCAGAAGGTGAAACAATTTTATTTCGGGGATAGTCCTGTGGGCGAACATAATTTTGTATCGTACCTTAATTATAATACTGATGTATTGTTTGCCTTCCCAATGTTAAGAACCCTTTCAACTCGTGTGGAAGCACTTGGAGATCCGATTTATTTATTTGAATACTCTTTTGTTGACGAAAATTCTCCAGGTTTCCCGCAAACTGATGAAATTGGTGCGAGACATTGTTCTCAAGAAATGATTGTCGCAGATGGAGATGTAACTGCTGCTACAAACGAATATAAGCGAATGCAAGAAATTATGAGAGATTATTGGATGAACTTCATTTACAATGGGTGAGAATCTTGATTGTTTCAAGTTATGTGTTCATCGTGTTCTATTTCTTCAATGCATAATGAATACTTAAGGCAGTAACTTCATATTACATCGACCGTGTCTTAGATTCTTAAAAAATCCCGATTTTGTTCATATGACCTCCTCTTGTCTTCCTTATGTTAATGGATAAACTTTTGGTAAGTGATTTAATTATTTCATTTATTTGTTTCAGTTACCCATCATCTAGTGACCCAAGTTTGCCAACGTGGACGCCTGCGAATGCTCAAAGGTCTCCTCACATGTCTTTGGGTCGACAGATAGTGCTGCGGGATTCCAGTCCCATACCGGAAAGAGCAGCTTTCTGGGATGAACTCTTCGATGAATATTTCCGAGGTCCCATTGTAGACATGGATCCCGTTCCTCCTACTCCTACTCCTGCTCCTGGCGCTGCCTCTTCATTAGTTATGTCAAACATCATTTTCGTGTCTCTATTGTTATCTTTTTATTTTACTTTGTACTTGAATTAAGTTAAGTGTATACATAAGTCTGATTTTATTTAATAAATTATGCTTGTAAATATATGTATGCGTACTATTTATAATATGCCTAGCTTTGACTACCTCTTTGGCTAAATGGTCGCGAGTAGGTACGACTGTCGGGTAAGGGGTCTCGGGTTCGCTTCCCAGGTCGGGTAAAGATTTAATAGGACAATTTTTTAAATTGTCAATACGGTGTCTGAAATTGTACCCAGTATATAGCAATAGGCTCATCTCCTATTACATGGGACTAATAACATAAATAGTGAAAAGTGGGTGTTACATTTAATGGCATTAAGTGCCGAAGGTAATGTGCATCTCTGACTAGCCCTTCTAGGATAAAAGGCGTGATGTTATGTGTGTATTTATAAAGTCGGTAAAACTAAAGCTCACATTTTGAAAGAGTTTTGATTTAGATTTTCTCGATTGAAAAAAAATTTCCCTAATTTTTTTTTAGAGAACAATGTCAGAATATATACGGACGGTATTAATTCTAATTAGACGGCTATTACTAATTCTTAATCGGAGTAGATTGAATGTTAGCACAAAATTTATATTTATAATTACACCACGTGGTCTACTAACTTAAAAAATGTTGTATATAGTGACATCTACCGTCATCACGTAATACTAGTAAGACGTAAAATATTTATAACAAAGATAAAACAAGCGATATCTATTAATCCGTCTATTCTTTTGTTTTGACTGGTAAAACCAAATTTATCAATTCTAATGTTTCTATTTTTCAACTATAAGTAGTTATTTGATGTGATTTAGATAAAATCGGTTATTCGATAATTAACAAGAAAGTTGCTGTTTGATTGCGCCATCATTTTCGAAGAGCCGTCCTTTCTGGAAATGTTGGTATAATTATACAGTTACCTAAATGGTCCACGATGCAATTAATGTTAATATTGCAGTTGCAGCTACTTAGGTAACGGTAACAGCTTACTAGATTGTTATCAATCGATAATACTCATATGATAAGTATAAAACCCATATACTTAGTCCCTCTATCATAAGGGTTTCTAGGCTAAGGCTCTTCGCGACGAGGAGATCGAACGCAGGCTCCCTTTACTAAAAGGCTAGCCAGCGGGTTGCTAGTGGCTGAAAGTCGTGTAATCACGGTGGAATACAATACAGTTGTCACCACCCCTGAAATTTCCGCGGGTGTCGAAGAGCCAACTACGGCGCAGTCATCTTTGACATGCCAGACCTTGTAAACCATCACGGATGGGGCCCAATAGAGCTGATGCCGATACGGAGCCGCGGAGGATCATTCGATGATTTTCCCCCCATAAAAAAAGACATTGTAAACTGCAATTTGCAGCCTGTTGCGAAGATTAGGGCAACCCTTTCTTGTAAAGGAGGCCGATAGTCCAGCAGCGCAAAGGCTGTTAAAGATAACGATGATGCTGACAAGAAGCTTTTAAAAAACAGGGAAAATGTATTTTCCTTAACGTCGCAAACTCAAGGTTCAAGAGACTTACGCTCGAATACTGAAGGTTAACTCAATTTTAAGTTTTACTTAAATATCGTTCCTACTCTATCATCCTATATAGAACTAGTAGTGACAGAATTATATATAAGCGCGTAATACTTAAAATTCAGTAACGTACGTCAGTATTCGGGCATTAGTGATTGATTTCACAAAATGGCAAGTATTTTTTTTTAATTTTGAGTATTGAAGCAAACGCAAGTTGGATGTTGAGCTCGCCTTTATTTATCTAAATAAATGACTTAGAATCAGTGGTGAAAAGTGGTCAATGTTTTGCGCATGCCTGGGCACTCATATCATAAAGTATGTTTTTGTTATCTTGATAACAACTTGAATGAATGACTTTTATATGAGGTTACACGATAATTTCACTACTATCAGCAACAAAATATGGTCATAAATCATCATCTTATAGCTGGCATGACATAATTAATTGATATGTATACGTAAAAACTAATTACAAAATCATTTCAAGTACTTAATTATTTTGGGAAGTCACTCAATTTGATTAGCACTCACGTTTTCACGCGACTTTAATTGCGTTAATTCTGCCTCCACGAATATGATAATGTAATAATCTTTTTCAAAATCATTATGATTAGGCATTAGTTTAGTTGTTACAGTGCATTACAGATTGTTATTGTCAATAAAAATTTAAGCATAGGTACTCACGCGGTTTTGCTAATGTTAGTTTTCGTTATTTTCGTTATACTACTGTAGATGCTTGGGGTGTGGCGGTATTCTTCTACAGAGAGGTTATGTCGTAGGAGCTTGTGAAACGAGAAATGACAAATTTATTTTCTGTACTTACACTGAGTGTTGGAACTAAAATAGAACTGATACATGTCAATCATAATCGTGTCTTTGAATCAGAAACTACAGGACAGAATTTTAGACGTTTCTTTCATACTTCTTTAGCTTCTGTTACATTCTTGCATCAGATATCAAAAGCAGACCGCATAGTAGAAGGTACTCTGCAGTTATCTATTATTATAAGGTCAGTCTAAGTTTTCCTTGTGACCAGTCGACTAAAACCAAGTCTAAGTTTTCCTGGGCACCTGTGGACTGAAACCACCCAATAGCCAACGTCGGTGGGTACTGCTCGTAGGTATTATGAGGAACACAGTTAATGTAAATAAACTATATGCGGAGTTCTATCGTGCAAAGCCTGCACGGTAGAACTGAAGATGGATTTAAACCACAACGTTTTATGAATGAAATATTTCTAACAATTTAGAGTATCTCGTGTTCAAGTCAACAGACAGAAAGACATGGCGATGAGCTTTTGTTTTATCAACATGCAGTGATAACACGGCTTAAATAAGACAGGGGACGGGTATGTGGGGTGATAACAATCTTGAAGCGAATATTTTTTGCGAATTTCAACAATAAATCATTTAATGGTGTCTGGTTGCAGATTGGTTATCTCTAGCAATTAATGTAAGGCCACTTGGGGTTCTGTTTATAATCCAAATAAGACTAAGTTAGCTTAGTCTTAGGAACTTAAGTACACTTATAAGAGATAGAAGGAATGAGAATAATTGGGTCGATAGCATTGAATTGATTCCATGAGTTAGACCATAATCTATGGTACAAAAATGTGCACAGCGAGTCAGTTTGGTCTACCGCCTTTTTTCGTGAGTTACTTTATAAGTTCTATCGTCAGTTTACCATATTGTAATAGGAGATGAGTCTCAGATATTTGACATTGAATAAACTAATCTTTTTACTCAGCCTGTAGTTAAAAACTGAAATGAACACTGACCCTTTTCTGAACGACACACGATTATAAAAAATCCATTGATCAAAAACAAGCGATTATAAAACCTGAACAGCTACCGATAATTATACGTGGTCCTATGAAACTTGTATTTTTGGTGACAGATCTCTAATATGATGATTTTGGGATTATCTTCGTAGATAATAATTAGTTTGATAGGTATACGTATTTATTCAATGAAGCGGCAGACATGTTCAATAACTCTATTGCACTTGGTAAAGATGTGGTCGTCAATATTGACATTTTGTCTGTTTACAATATTTGTGGAAGGCCAAGAAGACTGGCGGATGGTCAATATTACTCAGGGCCCTGTGAGAGGTCACAAGGATCCAGATGGAGATCTTTATGTATTTTACAATATTCCATATGCTACTGCACCTACGGGGATTGACAGATTTAAGGTAAAATTGATAAATTTATTCTGTTGTTTTCTTTTTTAACTCGTTGAGTACCGTCATTATAGACACAATTAAAGAACAATAGGTTGCGGTCACCGGTGACTGCTTGGTGTTTGACAGTTTAAAAATGTTATACTAAATTCCTGGCTTTTTGAGGCATTAAATAATTTGAAATGTTTTATCATAATTTAACTAAATTAGGAACAGCTTCATTACAATTTAATGTTTTACAGGCCCCTCTGCCTCCTCCTGTATGGATGTCACCGCTTGACGCTGTAAATAGAAACATCCGCTGCCCGCAACCCAATGTTCGTGAGCACACTCAGGAAGATTGCCTGGTAGTCAACCTGTTTGTTCCTGATACTACAGACACCAATCTGCCTGTCCTGGTGTTTGTCCATGGAGGAGCTTTCCAATTTGGTCACGGCCTTTCTGATCAATATCGAGAATTAGTGCGGACCAAGAAATTAATAGCAGTTTCGTTTAATTATAGAATAGGTGTCCATGGATTTCTTTGTCTTGGCACTGAAGGTGCTCCTGGTAATGCAGGAATTAAGGATCAGATAGCATTACTACGTTGGTTGAACGTAAATATTGCTAGGTTTGGAGGGAATCCAAGTGATGTCACGTTAATCGCCTGCAGTGCGGGATCAGGCTCGGTAGATGTTCTAACACTTTCTAGCGCTACGACAGGTCTGTTCCAGAAAGCCATCATGGAGAGCGGCAGCAGCACAGGAGCTGTTGGTGTAATAATTGATCCCATCCAAAACGCAAAAAATTATGCAAAAGTGCTGAATTTTGATAATGTCGATGATTTGAAAAAGTTAGAAGAATTTTATAGAACTGCCCCCTTTCAACTGTTAACTTCACGAGTTGATGAAATTGTAGACAATAAGGATAATATGGTTAGATTTGCTCCCTGTGTGGAACGAGATATAGGCCAGGAGCGAGTTATTACGGACGCACCAATGAATGTCATCAACCGTGGTAACTACACCAAGATTCCTTTGCTATACGGATTTACTAACATGGAAGGGGCAATGAGACTACGGTACTTTAATACCTGGAAAGATAAGATGAATGAAAAATTCTCAGATTTCTTACCAGCGGAATTGCATTTTGATAACGACGAGGAGAAAGAACAAGTTGCCCACAGAGTCAAACAATTTTATTTTGGAGATAGTAACGTGAGTGAAGATACCATGGAACAATTTCTTCTGTACTTTACTGACGTTTTATTTGCGTATCCAATGTTGAAATCTTTGTCAGCTCGAGTAGAAGCTCTAGGTGACACAATTTATTTGTACGAATACTCATTTGTGGATGACGATTCACCAAATTTTCCACACACTGATGTTCGTGGAGCTCAACATTGCTTCCAATCAATGGCGGTTAGTGACCAAGACCTTTCTGGTCGAACGGAAGAATATAAGCGAATGGTGCAGCTAGTCAGAGAATACACACTCAATTTTGTTTTGACTGGGTAAGATTATTATCTTCTCCTCACTTTTTATAATCGCTTGTATATTTTTAGTTATAATTAGTATTGAAATCGATTAGAACTTTCATTATTTTTTTCAGTTCTCCGTACTCAAGTGATTCTCGTTTTCCGTTATGGCCGCCAACAAGCGCGAAAAGGTCTCCGTACATGTCGATAGGTCCTGTCATAGAGCTGAGGGATGATATTTTGGGAGACAGGCCAGCATTGTGGGACTCCATCTACGAGGAACACTACCGAGGTCCACTAGTCCCTGATGGTTATACTGGTGCCGCCTCATCTATAATGATCTCGAAAATTATTTTGATGACAGTTGTATTAATGTTATATTTAGTTAAATAATATTAACGTCGAAAATATTTGTAAAATATTTTTTTATTCATTATAAGTTATAATTTTAATCATGATACGTATGTGTAATTTTTTGTATCCTTCGATCAATATTTATCGAAGTTCGTATCGGATACGTTACGGATACGATATACTAAGTGAGGTTTCATTATTGTTATTTATTCTACCTCTATAATAATTATTATCTGTGATGTAATTTAGATTGTAGATTTATAAAAACGGTTATTTTTATATACATTTTCTTTTTGTTTTCAAAACGTTGCCCCACACTATGATTTTCTATTGTCGTGGATGCGTTTACAAACATATAAGTTCACATACACATGACACCTAGACCTGAAACAACAATTCGTGGATCACACAAAGAGTTGTTCCGTGCGGTAATCGAACCCGCTACACGTTGCACGGCAGCCAGTTGCCCAGCCAGTGCGCCAACCGTGCAGTCAATATATATCTTGCTATACATATTTATTTTATCTAAAGGACAATGTTATATTTTTTATACAATAGTATGGGGGTCTTGTTATGGATTTTGGACATTCGATTATCACTCGAACTTTACGAAATAAACATTTTGACTAATTTATTCGCTTTTTCTCTCTACAACTTTTACACCTTACTTTGTCATTTATTTCATGTGTTTGATATTATTTTGGAAATGCATACGAAATTTTTCATTGTCCAAGTGTGCATCACGGTTGGTCTGGGTGGCCTATTCTTTTTTATTTTAATTTTAAGTAGAACTATTCTCTATGGCTCTACGACTCTAGTGCAAAAAATCAGGGCCCATTTAGTCGATGGCATTAGTCGTACTCAAAGCTGACACAACTGCTGAAACAGCTGTTTAGCAGTTTAGGCGTAAAACCGTGACAAACGCATCGATAAAAAAAGTTAGGTAAATTCCATTCGAAAATATAATTAACTATTCAACTCGATTTTTCTTATTTATCAATCGATATACTTTAATTATACGAAAATTATTGTAATATAGATAGACAGTACTGTCATAGCTTAATGACACGTTACTGATTGCGAATTTAAGCGTATACAGGGTGTAATAGAAGTATGTAGCTATCCGCTACCGCTACGTCCTGCGTGAGCTATGCGGAGCGGTGCGAAGCGTGCCACGGCGGCGGCGCGAAAATCGCGTACACGATCAACCTCGCAGTCGTCTGAAGACTTCGGTCGACAATGACCAATTAAAGGCGATTGTGGAAGCTATATAAGATGATACATAATCTACGGTTAAATTAGCAGCAGCTTTCGACGATACCGTCAAAGCAATATTGGTCCGTTTGCGTCAAATTGACAAGGTAAAAAAACTTGGGTGCTCCACGAACTCAATGATCGTCGGCGCGAAGTACGCGTCGAGACGTGTCTTGCACTGGTCAACTGACACATAAATGAAGGAATTTTGAACCGTATTGTTACCTGCGATGAAAACTGAATACTGTTTGAAAACCGCAAGCGCACAGCAAGTTGGTTGGATCCTGGTTCAGCACCTAAACGATAACTTACCCCTAGAAAAGTGGTGGTCACTGTTTGATGGTGTAGCGCCGGTGTGATTCATCATAGCTTCTTACCAAACGGCAGGAGCATTACTGCAGATGTGTGCTGTGAAGAACTGAACACTATGACGGAGAGCTATAAGCTGGCACATCTCCAACCAGAATTGGTCAATCGCTCTATTATACAAATAAAATATACATGAAAAAAAATCGTTTAATGTTTTTCATACAAAACGGAAATTTCTTAGGTACCTATTATTTCGACCATGATGTGCATTGATAGAGATTTAAATGACTGATTATGATCAAATTGAAAACATTCCTTATCATCAAGTAGGTGGTGCAAAATACATCTGACACTATCTCTTTTGTCATTATCGGATTACGTAGAACCGTTAATATAAAAACAAGATACTTCGTTGGAATAGATTAATAGATTTGTCGACATGTGGAAGTGTCTAGTGCTTGTATTTTGTATTTATGTAAATCTGGTGTACGCAGATGATGTTTGGCGTCACGTGAATATTACTCAGGGACAAGTGCGCGGCCGCATGGTGCCTGAAGGTGGTGTTTATGCGTTTTATAACATTCCTTATGCGACTGCTCCGACAGGGTCTAATAGATACAAGGTAATTTGAAATAAATTATATTTTCCGTACTTACAACAACACAGGATAAGTGTTTAAAGATATTTGTTTTTACTCCCAGGCTCCCCTGCCTCCACCAGTATGGTTGACACCGCTTATAGCTGAAGATCGCAAAATAATCTGTCCACAATCTTGGCCAGGATCAATGAATATTCAAGAAGACTGCCTGGTCGCCAATGTGTATGTTCCTGACACTGAAGAGACTAATCTGCCAGTCTTAGTAAACATCCATGGCGGAGGTTATCAAACAGGATTCGGAACACTTTCAGAATTTAATGCTTTAGTAAAAACCAAGAAGTTAATAGTGGTTACATTTAACTACAGATTAGGTGTTCATGGTTTCCTTTGTCTTGGCACTGAATTTGCCCCTGGTAATGCGGGACTGAAGGATATGGTAGCACTCCTACGTTGGGTAAACACCAATATTGCCAGTTTCGGCGGTAACCCTGATGATGTGACTCTAGCCGCATGCAGTGCCGGATCTGGTGCAGTAGACTTCCTTACTCTTTCTAGTATTACAAAAGGCTTGTTCAAGAAAGCTATAATGGAAAGTGGTGTCAGTATTGGCGGTGTCGGAGCACAAATCAATCCAATCCAAAATGCGAAAAACTTTGCACAAGTACTGAATTTCAACAATGTTGATGATTTTAATAGTTTGGAAGAATTTTATAAAAGTGTTTCATTTGAGCAATTGGTCTCTCGACTTGATGCTATAGTAAATAATGAAGGAGTTACTGTCCGATTTGGTCCATGTGTAGAAAAAGATATTGGACAAGAAAGAGTCGTATCAGATGTTCCTATGGATATAATGAAAACAGGGAACTACGCTAAGATACCCCTGATGTTCGGATTCACCGACATGGATGGTGCTTTAAGACTTCCTGTGTTTGATGCTTGGAAAGATCGAATGAATGAGAAATTTTCCGATTTTTTACCAACAGAACTACATTTCGATAGTGAAGATATTAAAGAACAAGTTGCTGAGAAGGTAAAAAACTTTTATTTCGGTGATGATTCTGTAGGTGATCACAGTATTGTGTCCTTTATAAATTATAATACTGATGTATTATTTGCATACCCAATGTTGAAAGCTCTGTCCACGCGTATAGAAGCTCTTGATGACACAATTTATCTTTTTGAATATTCGTTTGTGGACGAAGACACTCCCAGTTTCCCGCATACAGAAGTACTTGGTGCTGATCATTGCTTCCAGTATATAGCAGTTATGGATGAAGATGTAACTAATAGAACGGAAGAGTATAAGCAGATTAAACAAATTGTTAGAGACAATTGGGTTAATTTCGTTTTGACTGGGTAAGATTATTCACTTGTTTATATGAATAAGGTTGAACACATTGTCTCTTTATACATGCCTAATATTTAGCCAATAACAACACGTAATAATCAAAATATGGTACAATGTTTGATTAGGGAGCTAGACTAACTTAATGACTCAGTACTTCACAGACAAATTTTCTGTTTCAGTGCACCATTGTCTAGAGATCTTGTCTCGCAATGGCCACCTGCGAGTATACAAAGATCCCCTTACATGTCATTGGGTCGAGACATAGTGCTGAGGGACAGTAGTCCTATTGCAGAGAGAGCAGCTTTTTGGGATGAAATCTTTGAAGAGCATTATCAAGGACCCATTGTAGACACGGATGCTACTCCTACTCCTGACAACAGCGCCACGTCATTGATGATCTCAAATGTTACGATGCTTGTAGCAACTTATTTGTTTCTCCTTTTAAATAGACACTAAGTATGAAATATTTTTGATTTGTATTGTTATGGTCATTTAGAGGTGGGACTTTGGCAGTAATCTCTGTTACTATTAGCAGAAAAACAAATGCATTGGTCCTGTGGTGTTTGTGGTTTTCAAATTGACATGTGAAATTGCTATGGATTTTTACGAATTGCGATTGTGAAACTAAAATGCATCTGTGTTTGCGTTCGGACTTATTTGTTCACTTCAATGTATCTTGCTCTAATGGCATAAATGCTGGCCGATTCACGTGAATTGAAAAAGCATTCGATTGAAACTATGTAAAGCCTGGGAGCTGAAGAATTAGTGTAGATAATAAGATATGTAGTGTAGGTACATATCTTGCGTGTGTCCATATTTACCTATGTATTATGTACTTACTCATAAAGTTATGATTAATTTTTAATTACTTAGATCAATAACAAGTAATTCACTGATTAGGTGCGAACGTGCGCACACTCTTATCGATTTGGATTACCGTAGTGTAATTTTATTGATAACATTCAAAAACGGATTGTATTTACCTACTGTGAGCAAAATTGCCAGATAAAACGGAGCAAAGATGATATCTTTATTACGTTTTTATCAATACTTTATAGATTGATGAGACTTAGTAAATAATATAAATAATAATTTATTTTATCGACTTTATATTTATGCATAAATTGCACAATCATCCAAATGAAGTGTTATTTTTTTTAAAATATAATTGTGAGATAACAAATGTATTTCTTTGACGTTTGCACTGTAGTTATAGGAAATTACCTCGTTCTTGAGTGGTTGCAAATGACACTGCCGAGAATTTTGTTTCAATTACCGGGACAGGCAAAATTGATACTTAATTCATCATCATATTCATCATCGTCATCATCATCATCAGCCCATATTCGTCCACTGCTGGACATAGGCCTCTCCAATGACACGCCACTGAGCTCGGTCTTCAGCTCTTCTCATCCGACATAGAGAAAATTGTGTTTGTGAAAAAAAGTATCAAATGGTGTTTCTAATATGTTGAAAGTCTTAAAGTTATATTATTTTAATTAAAAACCATAAGGGTTAAATTAGCGAACGCTTTTTATGTTGTACAAATTCGTGCGGTATCATTAAATGCTAAAAGTTCAAAAGCCTTTACCTGTTAACCAAAGTAACGAAGCCTTGATAATGACAGTAAGCGCTGACCAATGTCAGCCACGGAATCGGACGAGCGCGGGACGCGAATGAAGTGGGAGGGGTAGGGGAATTGTCATTATGTTGACCTTACCTCAGTGTTTAGGTGAGACAGACCGCGATAAGTCGGAAATCGACATTTAATCAATATTGTTACAATCTGATAATATAGTCCAAGTATGCGGTCGGTATTTATTGTTATATTGGTGGTATTACTAAATCAGTGTGATGCGAGTGAATGGAGACAGGTGCACACCGCGCAGGGAGATGTGCGCGGACGCAAGGACCCTGACGGTGGACTGTACAGCTTTTACAATATACCGTATGCTACAGTACCTGTAGGACCTGATAAGTATAAGGTATTATTTCTTTTATAAAATTATGCCTTTCATAAAAATCTATAACTAAGTTCCAATTAAACTGACAAGGAAAATGTCAGTAGTATCAAGAGTCATTTTAATTGTAGATGTTTGTGACATAACTTCATATAAACATTACACCGCAATACTTATGTACACTGTGTTTGTAATCAATCCCACATTAGTCATTGAACTACATCGAACTGTAAACATACATTGAGGGTCAATGCCTCACTTTCGGCATCCATCCTTAAATATTCTTGGATAAACAAGTTCCATTTTTATCGATCACAGAATTGAAAGTAAAATCGTAAAGATAAAGATAAAGATAAAGACATTTATTTGCGTAAAAACATGGTATACAAAGATGTTATTGTTACAATATAATAGATCATCATGTTTTGCTTAATAAATAAAGCATGCAAATTTTAACTTGAAACTTATTTTAACTACTTAACTTACACTCGTAGATTATACAGTATTATTTATGTTCAAAAAATTCCTTAATACTATAAAAATTATTTTCATTTAACCATACATATAATTTAATTTTAAAAAGTAAAATCAGTTTATATGTATACGTATTAATTTATCAATGTATGTATGTAGTGACGCCATTGCCTGCATTTTCATGATAACAATAATAGTTATCTAGTTTTGTAGATGATATAATGAAATTATTATCTACTTATTGAGAACTACATTTTTACATTTTTTACTATGTTATTATGTTTCTAAGTCCATTCGCTATATTTTTTTATTATTTATTTTTTATGTTTTTTAATCGAAAAGGTAAGAATAAACATTAAATAAGTTTGTATATTTGGTGATGTATCATTTCAGGCTCCCCTGCCAGGACCGGTGTGGCTAGAACCACTTGATGCTGTGGACAAGAAGATAGCATGTCTGCAGCCTGTAACCCAATTTATGGATATGAGTTTTGCAAATATGCAAGAAGATTGTCTCGTTACAAATGTATTTGTCCCCGACACAGAAGAAAAGAATCTTCCAGTATTAGTAATCATACACGGAGGAGGATTTGAAATTGGATATGGTGATATGATATCACCCAAAAATGTAGTAAGGACGAAGAAAATTATTGTCGTTAATTTCAACTACCGTCTTGGAGTACACGGATTCTTGTGTTTGGGCTCAAAAGCCGCTCCAGGTAACGCTGGGCTAAAGGATCAAGTGGCTCTACTTCGCTGGGTGAAGAGAAATATTGCTAATTTTGGAGGTAACCCTGGCGATGTTACTGTATCAGGCGGTAGTGCTGGCAGCATGTCTACACATTTGTTGACGCTGTCAAAGTCAGCAGAAGGGCTTTTTACTAAAGTCATACCAGAAAGTGGGGCTGATGTATCAACTGCTGCTTTTCAGTTAGATCCACTTGATAATGCCAAAACATACGCTAGAATGGTAAACTTTACAGATGTAGATGATTTTAAGGCTTTAGAAGAATTTTATAAGAGCTCTTCTCTGAAATCAATTATAGTGAGTGCATTTGCTAACAGGCAAAATGCAACTCTTTTATTTGCGCCGTGTATGGAAAACGGTATAGATAGTCAACCAATTTTTACCGATTATCCAGTTAACATAATCAAGAAGGGTAAATATAAAAAAGTCCCTACTTTAATTGGCGTCGGCAATATGGAAGGAACATGCCAACTACATAATTTTGATTTATGGAAAGATGATATGAACAAAAAGTTTTCAGACTTCTTACCCGGTGATTTACAATTTCCAAATGAGGAAGAAAAAGAGGAAGTGAGTAAAATAGTTAAAGAATTTTATTTTGGAGATCAGCTGGTAGGTGATAATACAATATTGTCTTATGTTGACTATTTCGGAGATATTATCATAAACTTTCCAACGTGGAGATCTGTTAAACTACACGTAGAAGCCGGACACGACCAAATATATTTATATGAATATTCCTTCGTGGAGGACAGTACTCCTGTAGTCCCTCATACCGACGTGCGCGGTGCTGGACATTGTGCTCAGACAGCAGCAGTACTTGATGGAATACCTTTCGTATCCGCCGATGAGAGTAAATTGTCAGAAGAGTACAAACAAATGAAATCGACAATTAGAGATATTTGGTACAACTTCGCAGTGCACGGGTAAGAAATAAGTTATTATTTTTAAATCTGACACTGATCTAAGCTCTTATATTAAAATGTTAACTTTTTAAAGGTTAATAAAATATTTCTGATTCCAAAGCGGGGAACAAAAAGTAGTTCGATGATAAATCAGTATTCGTAAATTAGACAGGCTATTTAACAGATCAGCGACTGCATAACGGTAACTAATGTTAAAATTAAATGTTCCAGGTCACCTATACCACAGGTATCGTCTCTGCCCACCTGGCCAGCGGCAGGTGCTGATGGCAGTCCTTATATGGATCTTGGAAAAACAATTCAGTTAGGAGATGGAACATATCTCGGGAAACGAGCACAGTTGTGGAATGATATTTATGAAAAGTATTACAAAGCGCCAGTAGCGCCACCAAAACAAGGACATACAGAGTTATAACTGTTAAATACTTTAATCAAAGTTATAACATCAGTTATCGTGTATTCTTAAAACTAGTCGAGCTTCTTTATATTATTTAAAAAAATATATTCTTCTGTTGTAAGCCTTTTTACAAAATGTTTCCTAATTATTTTCACACGAATATTATGTACTAGTAAGAAATATATCTGAAATAGGGGCAATATTTCTATTTGTGGAACTGTAAAGTATAAGATATTTGATAAAATATTAAACGAGTAGGAAGTCGTAGATACCAATAGCATTTAGTATAGGTACGTATTTATCAATTTTGTCTGTGAGGAATAACTGTATTTAAGAACACTGAACATGTAGTGTACTGGTTTTAAAAATAAAAGAAGTGTAAGGATCATTATTATGTACTCAAACGCGTATCTAATTTTATTAGAATAAATGTCAAATACTCAATAATAGTTTTGTCACTACAAACTCTGTGTAAAATGGTAGAGATCACACGATATTTCAGTGCTACTTAAAATTCAATAGTAAGTTAATATTTAGGCGTAAGCTTTTCAAATCGCGGGACGATCTCCGGCCACCGTAAGATCGGGCCTGCGGACGGCGAGCATGGGTGGCTCGCCATTCGACCAGAACCAGACCCGAGCCTAGGTAGCCATCAGACCACCACGGATGGGGCCCAATAGGGCTGATGCCGATTCGGAGTCGCAGAGAACCTAACGGGTTACCGGGGCTCCGGCTCGAAGTGCAGGAGAAGGAACGGGGTGGTATTTGTCAGTAAGTCTGACACTCCCTCCCGCCTCACCGAGAAGAAGTAAAAAAAAAGCTTTTCAAATGTCAACTTGGTAGTTGTGCTGTATTTAAAACGTTACTACTGTAGAGTTCTTTCTATTTTGAGAACAAAAATTGCTAAACATATTGAAAAATAATCCATTCATATCCATTTTGAGAGACAGATCTGTCTCTTATATACCTCATGGTGATGAGATCACGTTCCATGAGACCCTTTCCTTTCCCATGAGAACATGTATCTAATGGGAAAGGAAAGAGTTTCTTAGAACTAAAGAGCTACTACTTATTGATATAGTCATGAGTCATGAGCCGGCAGGTCCATTGGTCCAGAAAAGATTTGTCTATACGTTGTATAGACTATAAAAAGGCCTATGTCTCTGTGCCAAATATATCGCTCATGTCATGAGGCCATTAGAGTAGTATAATCTAGATACAACTCTACTTCTTGCTGTCATGTATGAGGTAGTGAAGTGCTTTGCTATGTAGTATATAGACAAATCCAAGGGAGTGAAGGACTTGTAAGTATAGTACGAAGAGTATTTCAGGGTGATAATCTGAGGCCATTGTGGTTCTGCTCCACCTTGAATCTTTTCAATACTATACCGAAGGCTTCAAGTCTAGGCCGTAACTACTGAAAATATATTATGAAAGGTGAGATGGTTGATATAATATGTCAAGGATATCGTAGTCCCAGTAAACACGTCATACGTACCATTTCTGGTTGTAATCATTTAGCATAAACTAAACACACTTTTTATTACTGAGAACTAAAACAAAGTTTTTGTAATGAACTATGTGTTAATGAATTTTTATGACGTCATTAGGTAATTACCAAAAAAGTATTCGAGTTCAAAAGCCTTTAAGCAGAAGCATTTAATAAGTATTCTTTTTCTTTTTTTTTATAAAACGTTGCCCTCACTAGGATTTTCTCCTGAGCCTTGGGTGCGTTTACAAACATACAAGTTCACATACATACATGACACCCAGACCCGGAACAACAATCTGTGGATCACACAATGAGTTGTTCCATGCGGGAATCGAACCCGCATCACGTTGCACGGCAGCCAGTTGTCCAGCCACCGCGCCAATCGTGCCGTCAAGTAGAGAAGTCTTGATAAATAAAATGACAGCATATATGACAGTAAGTTGTTCTGACGTCATATCGAACGCTGACCTATGAGAGCCTTGGATTAGACGAGCGCAGGACATAAACAAAGTTGTGGGAGGGGGGGGAGGGGGGAGGGGTATTGTCTAATGTCTGTTGACCCTACCTCAGTGTTTAGGTGAGGCAGACCGCGATAAGTCGGAAGTCGACATTTAATCAATATTGTTACAATCTGATAATATAGTCCAAGTATGTGGCCGGCATTTATTGTTATATTGGTGGTAGTACTTAATCAGTGTGATGCAAGTGAATGGAGACAGGTGCACACCGCGCAGGGAGATGTGCGCGGACGCAAGGACCCTGACGGTGGACTGTACAGCTTTTACAATATACCGTATGCTACAGTACCTACAGGACCCGATAAGTATAAGGTACTTTTCTATACCTACATTACTTCTTTGAATTTTACAATTAAGTTCAGTAAATTGTTTCCAAATTCTAATAGAAGTAACGATGAAAATGCCAATAGTATTGTGAACTGTTTTGATTGTTTGAGGTATAATCATCACATAACATTACGCCATAAAAAATAGCACTTTGAAGTAAAAAAGTACTATTTCGTAGCCAATAAAAAATATATTTCATTTAATTTCGGTAATCGCTCTAACAATCATACACTGATGGCCATTTAACAAACAATAAAGAACCTCGCATTATATTTTTTATTGGTCACAAGTTAAAAGCTCCTTTTACAAAAACTTAGTAATTAACAAAAACAAACAAAACATTATAAACATAATATACAATAGATAACAATAATAGTACTTACTGTGGTTTTGTTTAATGTTACGAAATATTTTCACATCACATAGAATATTTCACAACATTATGCTATGAACTCTACCTCTACACCGTTATTTTGTGTCGCCGATTTGACATAAATCGTGGTTTTACAGAGTATTGTGTGACATTTAACATTAATTCCAATGTTAAATATTACGCAATACGTTACCAAAAAAACTTCATGACGAGTAAATATTTATCTCAATAACCCGACAAACGATACTTACCAAAATTAATAACAAATAGCTTTTTCTAAATTAACAACTTATTAGATCACTTACACTTTCACTTTATTAAATAATGAGGTCAAAAAAAGTGGCATACCAGATTAAAATAGTAAAACAATCAAATACGGCTGTTTACGATAATTTGGTCATATATAATTTCAGGCTCCCCTGCCAGGACCGGTGTGGCAAGAACCACTTGATGCTGTAGACAAGAAGATAATATGCTGGCAAGCCAACACTCAATTAATGGATTTAAGCTTCGCAAATATGCAAGAAAATTGTCTCGTTGCAAATGTATTTGTCCCCGACACAGAAGAAAAGAACCTTCCAGTATTAGTAATCATACACGGAGGAGGATTTGAAATTGGATATGGTGACATGATATCACCCAAAAATTTAGTAAGGACGAAGAAAATTATTGTCGTTAATTTCAACTACCGACTTGGAGTACACGGATTCTTGTGTCTGGGCTCAAAAGCCGCTCCAGGTAACGCTGGACTGAAGGATCAAGTTGCTCTACTTCACTGGGTGAAGAGAAATATTGCTAATTTTGGTGGCAATCCTGACGATGTTACTGTATCAGGCGGTAGTGCTGGCAGCATGTCTACACATTTGTTGACGCTGTCAAAGTCAGCGGAAGGGCTTTTTACTAAAGTCATACCAGAAAGTGGGGCGGATGTATCAACTGCTGCTTTTCAGTTAGATCCACTTGATAATGCCAAAACTTACGCTAGAATGTTAAACTTTACAGATGTAGATGATTTCAAGGCTTTAGAAGAATTTTATAAGAGTTTTTCTTTGAAATCAATTATAGTGGGTTCATTTGGTACTAGGCAAAATGCAACATTTTTGTTTGCGCCGTGTATGGAAAACGATACAGATGATCAATCAATTTTTACCGATTATCCAGTTAACATAATCAAGAAGGGTAAATATAAAAAAGTCCCTACTTTAATTGGCATCGCCAATATGGAAGGAACATGTCAACTACATAATTTTGATTTATGGAAAGATGTTATGAACGAAAGGTTTTCAGACTTCTTACCCGGTGATTTACAATTTCCAAGTGAGGAAGAAAAAGAGGAAGTCAGTAAAAGAGTTAAAGAATTTTATTTTGGAGATCAGCCGGTAGCTGATAATACAATATTGTCTTATATTAAGTATTTTGGAGATATTATCATAAACTTTCCAACATGGAGATCTGTAAAACTACACGTAGAAGCCGGACATGACCAAATATATTTATATGAATATTCCTTCGTGGACGAAGTTAGCCCCGTAGTTCCTCATACCGACGTGCGCGGTGCTGGACATTGTGCTCAGACAGCAGCACTACTTGATGGAATACCTTTCGTATCCGCTGATGAGAGTAAATTATCAGAAGAGTACAAACAAATGAAATCGACAATTAGAGATATCTGGTACAACTTCGCAGTATATAGGTGAGATATATTGAATATTTTAAAATCAAGGATTGATCCGAGGTTTACAATGCTTAGTTTGACATTCAATAATTTAATAAGACTTAAAAAAGAGTGTCACGAAATAATTGGAATACAAAAGTCACTTCGACGACTTCTTAGAATTACCCAACTAATGTTAAAATTTAATGTTCCAGGTCACCTATACCACAAGGATCGTCTCTGCCCGCCTGGCCAGCGGCTGGTGCTGATGGCAGTCCATATATGTCTTTTGGGAAAACAATCCATTTAGGAAATGGAACATTTCTGGGGGAACGAGCACAATTGTGGAATGATATTTATGAAAAGTATTTCAAAGCGCCAGTAGCGCCACCAAAACAACGACGTACAGAGTTATAACTGTTAACATATCAAACTGCAATTAAAATGTTTTTATATTTGATTGTTTTGTTGTTATAACTATCGCTAGCTATGTTTATCTAGTTTACATCCGTCACTGCGTGTACTGAGTCTCGATCGTGGTTGGAAACTAGTCTCAACTAGAAACTAGAACTAGAAACTCCTCAATCCTTATAATATTAAAAAGTGTTTTATTGTTACAAGGTGTTTTTCTCCAAAATGATTCCACGAGAATATTAGGAACTCAGAATGACGACTGATTGTGTTAATATAATTGGTAGCTGTGAGCAAATTAATAGCGTTGCCTTCGATTTTATTTATGTTCCTTAATTTTAGTTTATATTTCATTTTGATAATAATGGAATGTGATTAATCGCGTTCGTCATGTAGATTTATATAAAAATAGCGGCCCGTCCCGGCTTCGCACGGGGGGACTTAAGATTATTTACATAGTTTTACGTTTTATTTATATTTATTCTCAGTTTTTTTTAGCGACCTGCCCTTCGTTGTCGATGTCGCGTCTTAAGGTAACCGATTGAACAATTCAAAAGTTATCTAGAGCAAACTTTTATAAGGATTGAACCATTCATTAAAACGATTGTTATGGGTAAACTATAAAAGGTAGACATATGCTCTCGCGGACTTTTTTAAAAATAATGTTAAGATAAACAATTCATCTATATAGAACATTTTTGTATAACTTTAACTATATGCTCAGCGCACGCCACGGAAGGCCTCAGAAACGATAATTTTCCCCCGTTTTTAAAACATTTTTGGTTACTGCTCCACAACTATATGACCTAGCGTGATATTATATAGCCTATGTTACTTCTGAATAATGCAGCTTTCGAATGGTGAAAAAATTATTGCAATCGGTTCAGTAGTTTTTGAGTTTATTCATTACAAATGTAGCCGCACCGCACGACTACATACCTACCAGTTACCAGTACCACCGAATACCTTTCCATATACCAGATACCTTCCACAATACCTTTACCAAAGTTATAGACTCACTTCGTTTAAAGAAACAAGAAAACAATTGTCTTGAAAAAGACAGTTTACGTTTTGACTCCGTTTTAAGAAACCAGAAACCAATTGTCTTGAAAAAGACAGTTTTCGACTTTCCTGCATAGAAACGATAATCATCACTGCGGCAACAGCGTTATCACACCGTGCCGCGAGCGATCGCTTCGAAAGAAGCGGTTTGGTAAAGCAAGCAGCCAAGCAGCGCAAGCGGAGCCGGAGCCGGAGGCCGGAGTACTTGCATTCATCTTCATTCATCTGTAGGTAGTCTTCAGTCTTCGCTCAACGCCGGCTCTCGGAGAAATGCGCGCGCTCGCGCCGCGCGGTCATACTTATACGGAAGGAACCAATAGTGCCGTGTGCAAAGCGGCGCCCCGCACCCCGCGCGCCCCGCGCACGCCGGCGCGCCGCTATTGGTCGAAACTATTACCTAACTATATCTGATCTTGTCTAGTTGTAAATATGTAAATAGAAATATAAGTAGCGTAGTTTGGCGAAATAAAATCATTCTTGCCAACACCTCTCATCGGAGTTTTACTACTACTAGAAGATAAGAAGAAACCTCCTCTAGGACACTAGGCTCTCATACCTAGCTCCTAAATTGGTGACCCCGACGCTGTCAACGGATCTCTGCAAGAATCAATCAATCGCCGCCTAGTACTACAGAAATCAAGCTCGTCGTAATGTCCAACTCCAACGAAAAAACGCCGGAACTCTCCAGCGTGTCGACGTCACTGCGCATCCCACCCATATGGCGCGACAGAATACGCCTATGGTTTGCGCAGTTCGAGGCGATTATGTCTCCGCAGAAAAAGGGCGACCAAGCCATGTTTGAGCTTGTCGTCGGTCATCTCGAAAGACAAGACCTCGATGAAATATCCGACATTATCCTTCATCCTCCGGAGAGAGACCGCTACGAAACCCTCAAAAACAGACTACTCCAGGTCTATGAGGAGTCTGAACAGCGTCAAGTTCAACGCCTTCTCTCCGAGATGGAGCTCGGCGACTTAAAACCATCACAGTTACTTCGCCGGATGAAGAATCTCGCCGCGGATAATATATCTGACGCTGCGCTTCGTATTATGTGGACAAACCACCTCCCCCAGTCCGTGCGCGCAGTCCTCGCTGTCAGCGACAACATCGCTAAACACTCGGACATCCACGATCTAGCGATGATGGCTGACAAAATACTCGAACAGACGCAACCTCATGGCACAGTCGCTGCTGTGACTGAAAACCCCGCTTTCCCCCGAGTACCTACAAGTATTGAAGACAAAATCGATATGCTTACGAGGGAAATCGCCGAACTCAAAGCAGCACAATCTAACCATCGTTGCAACCGTCAGTCGAGACGACCTCAGAACAGATCGCGATCATCGAACCGATATCGCTCCCAGTCCAGACAGCGCGATAACACTCCACGCCGCACGGAATCTTCTGGAATTTGTTATTACCACCGCAAGTTCGGGAAGGAGGCACAGCGATGCACACGTCCGTGTAATTTCCAGAACAACAACACCCGTCCGGAAAACTAAAAGGTGCGTTGGATGAGGCGGGAACCGGCGCAACAACTACGTCATACCGCCTGTTTATAACAGACAGAAACTCACGTCTGTCATTTCTAATTGATACTGGCGCAAACGTCTCCGTCATCCCTAAACGAAAAGGCGTGAAGATAACCCCAACTGACTTCTGTTTATACGCCGCAAACAACACGGTTATACCTACCTACGGTGAGAAGACGCTACAATTGGACCTAAACCTACGCCGACCTTATAGTTGGAAATTCATCGTCGCTGAAGTCAGCAAGCCAATCATCGGCGCCGACTTCCTACGCCACCACCAACTACTCGTCGACATAGCCGGTCGATGTCTTGTCGACAAAGTAACCAACCTCACCGTCAAAGCGCCAATCTCATATTCCGCCGAGCCAACTGTAAGAAGCATAGACGTCGAACAGCCGTATCATCAAATATTGAGTCAATTCCCCGATATCCTAAGACCATCATGCATGAAGACCACTCCCAAACACCGCGTGGAACATCACATTGAAACCACCGGTCCACCTGTACATAGCAAAACCCGGCCATTACCCCCACATCGATACTTGGCCGTGAAGAAAGAGTTTGAAGTCATGATGCAGCAGGGATTATGCCGTCCAAGCAAAAGTCCCTGGTCCAGCCCACTACACGTCGTCCCGAAAAAGAATGGCGACATACGGGTATGCGGCGATTACCGAAGACTCAACGACGTAACTAAACCCGACCGCTACCCTGTACCTCGCCTCAAAGACTTCACATACCTACTCCACGGCAAGAAGATTTTCACCACACTCGACCTGAATCGTGCATACCAACAATTACCCGTTTACGAACCCGACATCGAGAAAACAGCCATAACAACCCCGTTTGGCTTGTTCGAGTTTCCCCGAATGTGTCCAGGCTTAAAAAACGCGGGACAGACATTCCAACGGTTCATACATCAAGTACTCAACGGGTTAGACTTCGCATTTCCATTCATTGATGACGTAATCATCGCGTCAGAAAACAACGCACGCCACATCGAAGATCTACAAGAAGTACTACGAAGACTAAATGACTACGGTATCACTATAAACCCGTCAAAATGCGTCTTCGGTCAAGAAAACGTCAAGTTCCTAGGTTATCAAGTGTCGAGCGAAGGAATCGAACCTCCACTTGATAAGGTCAACGCTATCACTGCTTACCCCAAACCCGAAACAATAGCGGACCTACGTCGATTTCTCGGCATGGTGAACTTTTACCGTGACAGCATACGTAACGCGGCCCACATACAAGCGCCGCTAAACGCATTTCTACATAACTCCAAGAAACGCGATAAAACAAAAATCGAGTGGAACAATGAAGCACTTCAAGCATTCGAGTTGTGTAAAGCTAGCATACAAAACGCAGCTTTACTCGCTCACCCATCCTCGTCACCAACTCAACCAATATCACTCATGTGTGACGCATCGAACACCTGTGCTGGAGCTGTCCTACAACAACTTGTAAACAACAAGTGGGTTCCCCTCGGCTATTTCTCGAAGAAATTCTCAGAAACACAACAACGTTATAGTACGTTCGACCGAGAATTATTATCAATATATATGGCGATCAAACACTTTAGAAAAATGTTCGAAGGAAGAGAACTCATTGTTTACACCGATCACAAGCCGCTTACCTACGCAATACGCAAGCCGCCGTCGGACAACGACACACAACGACGCACTCGTCAGCTGTTGTTTATAAGCGAGTTCACGACCGACCTACGTCACGTGACCGGAGCGAACAACGTAGTCGCCGACGCACTGTCACGCGTTGAAACGATCGACTTACCATCGCCGATAGACTACGAACAACTATCTCAAGCACAAGAAAAGGACAGCAATATTCTCAACCTATGTAAACAAACAAATATTCAACTCAAGAAAATCGTCATACCTACTTCAAACAAGCTGATTTACTGCGAAGTATCGACGCCTCACATTCGTCCATACCTACCAGTTGACTTTCGTCGGATCGCATTCAACGCCGTGCACAATACAAGTCATCCTGGTATCCGAACTACACGCAAACTAATGCAGCAACGATACTTCTGGCCGTCTATGAACACCGACATTGGCGAGTGGGCAAAGTCATGCATTCAGTGTCAACAATCAAAGGTACATCGACATACGCACAGTGACGTCACATCATTCCCACCGAGCGAGCGTTTCGAACACGTACACATTGACATCGTCGGACCTCTGCCTACATCTTCGAGCGGACATCGATACCTACTCACTATGATCGACCGCTGCACCCGCTGGGCAGAAGCCGTCCCTCTGCGAGAGATATCAGCCGAAGTCGTCGCAAGAAAGCTGTATGAAGCATGGATATCACGCTTTGGTTGTCCTATCAAAATCACGACTGATCAAGGACGACAGTTCGAGAGCAGCTTATTCAAAAATCTCGCTCAGCTACTGGGAGTAGAAAGAACTCGTACTACTGCCTACCACCCGCAGAGTAACGGGATCGTAGAACGCTGGCATCGTACATTGAAAGCCGCGCTCATGACTCGACTCGCCGACAACAACAAATGGTTGATCGAGTTACCTACCGTGCTACTGGGACTACGAGCCGCTACGCGCACCGACACTAACACTAGTGCCGCTCAACTTACCTACGGACAAGAACTACGGCTACCCGGCGATTTCATATCGCCATCGCCTACCTACACGAAGATGGACAACGACTATGTGGCTGACTTGCATCGTGTTATCACAAGCTTAACGCCCGCTTATCAGTCGCACACTAACCGACTGAGTATCTTCGTGCACAAAGACCTGCAAACATGCAGCCACGTATTTGTACGTGACGACGCAGTTCGCAAACCGCTGCAACGTCCGTACAAGGGTCCGTACCTAGTCTCCAGCAGAAGCGACAAGTACTTCACATTACAAACACCTAGAGGTACTAACGTGTCTATCGAGCGTCTGAAGCCTGCCTACGTCATTAATTACGATAACTCGGACAACTGTGCAACGCTACCAGAGGCTATCCAGGATCAACCCAGTCAACCTCCGTCGAGCATCAGCGATGTACGAAAAACGCGAACAGGAAGGATCGTCAAGACCCCAGTACGCTTCGCTCGGGGGGGAGTACTGTAGCCGCACCGCACGACTACATACCTACCAGTTACCAGTACCACCGAATACCTTTCCATATACCAGATACCTTCCACAATACCTTTACCAAAGTTATAGACTCACTTCGTTTAAAGAAACAAGAAAACAATTGTCTTGAAAAAGACAGTTTACGTTTTGACTCCGTTTTAAGAAACCAGAAACCAATTGTCTTGAAAAAGACAGTTTTCGACTTTCCTGCATAGAAACGATAATCATCACTGCGGCAACAGCGTTATCACACCGTGCCGCGAGCGATCGCTTCGAAAGAAGCGGTTTGGTAAAGCAAGCAGCCAAGCAGCGCAAGCGGAGCCGGAGCCGGAGGCCGGAGTACTTGCATTCATCTTCATTCATCTGTAGGTAGTCTTCAGTCTTCGCTCAACGCCGGCTCTCGGAGAAATGCGCGCGCTCGCGCCGCGCGGTCATACTTATACGGAAGGAACCAATAGTGCCGTGTGCAAAGCGGCGCCCCGCACCCCGCGCGCCCCGCGCACGCCGGCGCGCCGCTATTGGTCGAAACTATTACCTAACTATATCTGATCTTGTCTAGTTGTAAATATGTAAATAGAAATATAAGTAGCGTAGTTTGGCGAAATAAAATCATTCTTGCCAACACCTCTCATCGGAGTTTTACTACTACTAGAAGATAAGAAGAAACCTCCTCTAGGACACTAGGCTCTCCTACCTAGCTCCTAAACAAACATACAAAAATACAAATCTTTCCTCTTTATAATATTAGTATAGATATCATCCATTATTTTTTTAAACTTAGTCTCATACACGTTTAGGGAACAGAGAGTATAGTTCCCTAAGATCGGAAAAGGAGGATCCTCCGACCAGGCGAGGTGATCGTGCCTGGCGGGCTTTCTGCCCGACAGTTGTTCGTTGGGATTTTCTATCCGTGTTTATTCGCTTGCAAACTTTGCATGTGCGATGTAGGATTCTTGTGACGTCATCCGTTGACATGTGGCATGCGTCGCCACATCACTCCCTCCCAAGACCGGAGGTCGATCCCGCTGAGACGGCTGTCGATGCTTGAGATGAGCGGTGCCAGAGCCAGTGTAGAAAGTCCCTAGTTCCAGTGAGTCGGAACTGTGCCGCTGAGTGCCCAGTGAGTCGGGTGAGCGGTGCAGGGCGATACTCCAGTGAGTCGGAGAGATGAGTTCGCAGTATCCCACGGTGAGTCGGGGAAGAGATGCTGCGAGGGTAGGTGCGTAGTGGCTGGCGTCTGCGTTGACGGGAGGAGATGTCCTTCAGAACCGTGTGCAGAAGTGCTGTGCCTAGACGCTGGTGAGGCCGTAGGGAAGAACCAGGCTGCACAACTTCGTTGCAGGTAATGGTGGTCCCTGATGAGGCCGAGGATGCTGGTTGGCTGCGACTTGGTTACCGCTCAGCGGAGAAGTGATGAATGAGAGGGATGGCGATACGGATGACGGTGCTAATCTGCTCCGTGAAGTGAAGGTTGCTTCCTATCACGTCGGGGTCACCACTTTTAGGGAACAGAGAGTATAGTTCCCTAAGATCGGAAAAGGAGGATCCTCCGACCAGGCGAGGTGATCGTGCCTGGCGGGCTTTCTGCCCGACAGTTGTTCGTTGGGATTTTCTATCCGTGTTTATTCGCTTGCAAACTTTGCATGTGCGATGTAGGATTCTTGTGACGTCATCCGTTGACATGTGGCATGCGTCGCCACACACGCAACATTATCGTACACACAAGCGATCATTATAGTTTGTTCGCTTGTTTCATGGGTGCGTGTCCGAAAATATAATTTGTCATAGGAATTGAACCCGTCTAACTGGCAACCGGTTTTACCTGGCTACTGTGGGGCTACCTGGCTACTTCGGGGTTACCTGGCTAGTGCACGCTAAACATATTTATATGTCTGTTTTAACATAATACAACATCACGCCTTTTATCCCCGAAGGGGTAGGTAGAGGTGCACATTACGGCACTTAATGCCACTGTACAATGTAACACCCAATTTTCACTATTTATGTTATGAGTCCCATGTGAGAATTTTTAAGACCCAGTAATACTTTGCCCGACCCGGGAATCAAACCCGACCACTCGGCCAACGAGGCAGTCCGTCTGTCTGTTTTCTGGTAGCAAATTACCAGATTTTTTAATCCCAAAGAAGATACTGCCCCACACAAAAGAGCTCAAAGCAATAAACAATACCTGCGGATTAGCTTTGAGTACAGATTTAAACACAGAGATAGGTGAATTATAAAATATTAAAGATGATAAAATGTGCAACAAGTGGGAGTTCCAAAAACTGGAAAGCTCCACCTGATCTACAAAAACTTTTAATAATATCGATACAAAATATTGTACAAACTTGAATTAAGATCTAGAGGTAAATAACATTGTTTTTTATTCTTTATAAAAAAATATACAAAAATTAGCAGCTTGTTTCATTTACAGTTCATTGTGATATGCTTGTGATGGAGGTGGCGCCACTGCCACTGGTGCGCTGTAGTATTTTTCATAGATCTTGTTCCAGAATTTTCCACGTTCCCCCAAAAAGGATTCTTTTATCTCCACTGCTTTTCCAATGGACATATATGGACTCCCACCTGCACTTGTCGTAGGCCAGGTAGGCAGCGACGAATCTTCTGTCACAGGAGTCCTGAAAAGTTACAAAAATCGGCTGAAATTGATGTTTAAAGATTCAAAAACGAATCGTCTGGGTATATATTAACAATACCTTAGGATATTCTTAAAGATATTGCTCATAAACGAATTATCGTTTCAAAACTAAAAAAGTAAACTAAACCATAAGGACTTTATTTACCCGTGTATAGCGAAGTTTGACCACATTTCTCTTATAACAGACTTCAGGTTTCTGTACTCTTCAGATAAAGTTTCTTCATCCATAGGTCCTTCAAGTACTGCCATAGTTTGAGCGCAATGTTGTGCACGACGTTCGTTTGTGTTAGGTATGACAGGCACACTATCATCCACGAAACTGAACTCGTACAAATAGATCTGCTTGTGCCCAGCTTCCAAATGTAATTTAACTGCTCTCAAAGTAGAATAGCCAAACATAATATCACCGAAATAGTCCAGGTAAGCTAGTATTGTTTCTTCTCCTACTGGCTGTCCGCCAAAATAAAATTCTTTAATTTTATTGCTTACAATGTCTCTTTCGTCATTGCTCTGAAATTTTATATCAACTGGCAAGAAATCACTGAATTTGGTATTCATAGAGTCTTTCCATATTCCCACATGATGCATCTGCAAAGATCCTTCCATGTTACTGATGCCGATTAGCATAGGGATTTTGTTGTAATTGCCACTCTTGATAATATTATATGGTGATTCATCTAAAAAGGCCTGATTACCTTTTCTCCTTTCAATGCAAGGTGAAAATAGCACAGTTGAATCTTTTCTCCCTAAAAATGTGCTCATGAACATAGACTTCATTGGAGCACTTTTGTAAAATTCTTGCATTAAATAAAAGTCATTAACTTTTGTAAAGTTTAACATTTTGGCGTAGGTTTTAGCGTTTTCTATGGGATTTCTTTGAATGGCTATGAAACCTACGCTTACTCCACTCTCCAGTATGACTTTATTAAATAGTCCTTTTGCCGATTTTGAAAGCATTAACAAGTCGACTGAGACTGAGCCTGCACTGTAGCCAGCTATAGTAACATCATCTGGGTTACCACCAAAACTTGCAATATTCTTGTTCACCCAGCGAAGTAGAGCCACTTGGTCCTTCAGTCCAGCATTTCCCGGTGCGTCTTCAGTGCCCAGACATAAGAATCCGTGTACTCCAAGACGATAATTGAAATTGACTACAATAACCTTTTTGTTTTTGACTAGGTGTTTGGGTGTCATCATGTTTCCAAATCCTATTTCGAATGCACCTCCATGAATGTATACTATAACAGGTAGGTTTTTATCGTCAGTATCAGGAACATAAACATTAGTGATAAGACAGTCTTCCTGCATTACTTTGGAACTAGTGTCAAATAATGGTGAAGGAGGTTGCATACATATGATGCCTCTGTCGATGGCATCTAGTGGTTCCAGCCATATCGGTGCAGAAAGAGGTGCCTGGAAATTGAGATAAGGTCACATTTGAATATTGTAAAATAAAATAAATTATTCAGTAAGAAAATAATAACACGATTCTTACCTTAAATCTGTCAGTTCCTACAGGCACTTTAGCATATGGAATATTAAGGAATGCGTATAGTCCACCGGCAGGGTCCTTGCGTCCGCGCACCTCTCCTTGTGCAGTGCGCACTTGTTTCCACTCACCATCATCACAATAACCTAACGTCACAACACTTAGCAATATTAGTATCTTCCACATATCTGGTTTGTTACTATTTTATATATAATATTCTTATCTTCTGAAAAACATTCGACGTTAGATTCGTGAGGTTGCTAGTACACTAATAAAATACGCTACAGATATTTTGATACCGTCGCATATATTTTCAGTTTTAGTGATGTAACCACGTATCGAATACGGTGTATATTTGTATTCCACATTAATTTAAATTAATTAATTGATAGTGTAATTATTTTGAAAGAACTCTGTGCATTGAAAAATTTCATGATTAAATGTTGTTTAGGCAGGTTTTTCTAAAGGTAGTCTTTGTAAATGACTTGATTTGTCCTTGTACCAATAAACTATTGAGATTCAAATGTTTAACGTGTTATCAATTAATATGTTAATAGGCCATTTACTAAAACATTTATTATCACAATTACTGTTAAAATAAAAGAGTTTGAAAAAACCTAACCGAAATCCGTTTGTCTGTCACCACAGACAAACAACTTTCCCATGAAAGTAATGGCTCGTACTCCAAATCTGATGTAGAAAATTGGAACTTATATTGTTTTTTTTTGAGGGGCCAAAATCATCCAATGACTGCTCCCACCCGGGTGAGACGAGAGGGAGTGTCAGACTCTTACTGACTAAAACAACCGATATGCCGTACGCTGAGGTCTGATTCTGCTTAGGCGGTGAGTTACCTGTGCGCGCCGTCCGCAGGCCCGAGTTTATGGTGGCTCGAGATCGTCTCCTGATCGCCGACGCCAGTTTTTTTTTTTATTTTTTTTTTTTAGCCCTTAATGTCTCTCGCAATGGCTAGGGCGTGAGGAGGTTCGTTCCCTCACGCACCTCGCCTCTTCCTTAGCTATTTTGACTGCTTTTCAGAAGGAGGAAACGGCATCCTAGTGCCCCTCGCTCCGTATCATAGTCTGATACAGAACCGGACGCTAGATCTCACCGCCGCTGATCATATATCTGAGGACACGGCAGTGTTCAGCCCAAGCAGGGCACACCGCCACCGTATCCACTGTGTCCTAGATAAATATATACAATCGAATATTTGATAACAGCGTAAATTATTTTCAGTACACCACTAGTAGATAAAAATTCGTCTTTCGATAAGCCTTAGTAATTAGATAAGTGCAAGTATTCTTTGATAAAATTTATTTTGACTGCGATAAATGATTGTGACTAAGACGCTCTCAGATAACTTTACTGCATCTATATATTACGACTGCTATCATGTAAAGAGCTCATATCCAATGATAACAATAGATGCGAGATTTGTTATGCAACATATTGCTCCATATAGGTGATTTGTTTTTAGACCATAATCTCGTATGGGGTTATAGAACAGATCATTTCCAACATTATTGTCAAACAAAGGGCTTGGGGGAAATGAACAGTTATTAAAATATTTAACTTTTGGAGTTAAATTTAAAATGACGCCCACTGTTACTCTAAAACTCAAAGAACAAAAAATAATACTTAATTCCTTTATTTACTAGTTATAATCATTAAATACACAATAATAAAATTATTTCAGACAAATTTATCTCAAATTCATAGAACATAAGATTTTTTTTCAAGTTTACCCATAAGACCTATAGAACCATATTAGTAGACCCACTTTGGAAAACCCTCCAATATAAAAAATTGCTATGACACTTATCTACATTGCCTAAGCTTCCATATGAGGTATAAACCTTCAGCATACCTGAACTAATGTCAAAGATATTAGACTAACAATGGATCAAGGTAGTAAAGTAATGGAGTTCAACCAGAACTTCATTATTAACAGATAAAACAAAGAACACAACAAGTTACAGTACAAGTTTACTTTTGTAATCTTACAACTTTTACCCAAATATGTTGTAGATATAAATTTTTTAAGAATTTTTAAAATTATAATATAGGAGTAATGGCTTGTACTGCAAATCTGTTGCAGAAAATTGGAACTAATATCCATTTCTTTTTGAGGGGCGAATATCATGTAATGACTTTTCCCGCCCGGGTAAGGCGAAAGGGAGTGTCAGACTCTTACTGACTAAAAACTACTACCCCGTGGAGGAGGTAATGGGTTACCGGGGCCGGAGCCCTTCGCAACCGCAGCTCCGTATCGGCATCAGCCCTATTGGGTCCCATTTGTTGTGGTCTGATGGCTCCTTGACCGCGCACGCTGGTCATGAGGAGGAACCACACCGTGGTTCGAAACTATGTAGTAGAGCTTTTTTCAGTATACTCACGTAAGAAACCCGCGCTTTTTTGATAAATCAGGTTATAATATTGTTTTCTATTATTTAAATAGTAACAATAATAATATAATGATATATCCAGTTAGTATCTGTATAGATACGGTTTGTACCTACTAGGAATTTATGTGAAATTATTACGAAATTATTAAATTATTATCTTCTTACCTACTTCAAAGATAACTGGGAGACTTATCGGATACTGAAAAACATTTTGGTTCGACCCACAACTTTTGGGCTATATCTAATTAAAAAAAGTACACAATATACAGCAAAAATAGCCAATCATGATGATCAACCAATTTGATTAAGATTCATGATGACCAAACACTTTAAACACAACCAAAATATCTAGTATCTTTACATTTTAGTCATTAAAATTTCATCACTTCGATACTTTATTTCTGTAAGTCAACCTATCTGTTTTTATACTGAATTTCATCATCTTCAGCTATAGAGGTCCAAAGCTGGACCTTCCGTTAGCCCTATCTAATGTATCCCAGTTATTATGGATCAAACAATACTATACACCTTACCTCACCACGATGACCACCATTCAAAAGTGCCTTCCTGGTTTAATCGTAATAAATGATTTTGACTTTGACTTTGACATGCATCATGTACTTCACCAACTTAACCATAATTTATTATGGGACAAAACCTGAGCAAATTTTTGAAGAATTCTTATCGAAACGTTACAAATGTATGTATCTACTAGAGTTACTTGAGTCATCAATCGAAGCTATGAAGGCGCAGACTAGTGTGGCGGGAAGTGAAAACTGCGCAAGGCATTGTGCGCGGGCGCATCCACCCCACGGAGGATATATACACATTTTACAATATACCTTACGCCACAGCACCTGTTGCGTCATATATACGCACGGTTGGTGCCACATGCTAACAATCGAGGTGCAAATCATAATGATCAATCTATGGCTGTAACGGACATAGTTATATCCACATGAATCTCTGGCAAATCCAGAGTACCAGAAAATGAGAAAGATAATGCAAGAAATAGCATGCTTTTCATGCCGAAGCTCTCTTCCGCATCTAAACGTTAAATTAAATAGTTCAAAGCACATTGTTTCGTCATGTCTAAGAAGTAAAGAACCATTCGGGTAATTATCAGCGTATTCTAGTTAATTAAGTAAAGAACTATTGAGAGATTATCGTAAAATAGCAACAATTGTTGTTGCTGTCCAAAACTTTGAATAATATAAAGTTACTGGACAGCATTTATGTATTAAGAGATGACTGATTGACATCTGACATATTGTTTGTATATTAAAATAAAATTAGAGGTTTTTTTGAAACAATAAGTAGTTATGATCGGGAAAAAACATATCAGTTAAGACTTCGACCCCTAGTATCCCAGGAGAAATCTCCTGGTCACTAAATCGTCTGGTCACTAAGTTAAATAACTTAGTGACCAGACGATTTCACTAGGTACGTTTGATAAAAATAAACGATATCATTATTTATAGCTTATGCTATTCATTTATTTGCAACGTCATGCACAATTGCAAAAACGAGAGCACATTTTTACTTAGGGACTTACTTAGCCGACCAAGGACAAGCGCTTGTTGGTAACTACTTGATAACTAGTTGAAATAAGGAAGTCTCAAATTTCACCACATTTGGTGGTGAAATCCCGCACAGCCCCAACTCGAGAATATTGGATACCACGCTCTGAGCAAAGTGCCAACAATGTTGTAAACATGAGATTAAAATTTATAAAATGGTACACAATACATTAATTATCTGATAATAAGCACCAATATATAAGAAGACATATCGATCAGTAGTAATTCAGAGAGCAAACACAGCCATGCACTGGCAGACGTGTGTGTTACTGTTGTGTGTGACGGCCATATTGGCGGACGACGAATGGCGGGAAGTAAAAACTGCGCAAGGGCCTGTGCGCGGTCGCAAGCACCCTACGGAGGATATATACACATTCTATAATATACCTTACGCCACAGCACCTGTCGGCGTTGACAGATATAAGGTAAGTCGTAGACGTTTTTACACGAAAATGTTTAAGTGTTTGTATTTTTCCGATAAATTTTAATTAATAGTCTTAGTCTAGCAGGAGACTGTTGGTTATGGGACAGTTTGATGTTTTTCACTGTTTTGTGATGTGTATACAATTCCAAAGACAGTTAAGTTTTAGTTTTACTTTTGGTGAGTTTGTAGTTAGTTTTGGTTCCTCATTTCGTTCACTTTTGTATAGTAAATACTTCTTACTGACTGACTATTATTTCGAACATCATGACTTATTATCATTATTCAATTTTTCAGGCTCCCTTACCTCCTCCAGTTTGGTCGGAACCATACGATGCTGTTAACAAAAATATCGTTTGTCCACAAGTCAATCTTCCGATGTTTGAAAGTAGCACAAATCTTTTGGTGCGACAAGAAAATTGCCTTATTGCTAACGTATATGTACCAAAAACCAACAAAAATAATCTTTCGGTCGCAGTATATGTTCACGGAGGAGGTTTCGTGGTTGGCTGGGGAGAAATGTTAAAATACACTCAGTTCATGAAAACAAAAGATGTAATTGTCGTTACTTTCAACTATCGGGTAGGAGTACATGGCTTCCTTTGTCTGGGTAGTGAAATGGCGCCAGGCAACGCTGGAATGAAGGACCAAGTAGCATTGCTGCGTTGGGTGCAAAAGAACATAGCCAGCTTTGGTGGTAATCCAGATGATGTTACAATTTTAGGATACAGTGCGGGATCTGCATCAGTTGACCTGTTAATGCTATCTAAGTCCACTGAAGGATTGTTCCACAAAGTTGTACCAGAAAGTGGAGGAAGTCTTGCCGCATTCTCAATTCAAAGTGACCCTATAGAAATCGCCAAAACATATGCCAAAATACTGAATTTCACTGACGTAGACGATATAACTGCTTTAACAGAGTTCTACACAACGACTCCACTGGATGTCTTGACTTCTACAAGCGCTGTTTTTGGTAGACCCGATTCTACTTTTCTATTTGCTCCGTGTGTGGAACGTGATATTGGTGAAGAAATGTTTTTGGCAGAATCTCCTCGGAAAATTCTGTCGGAAGGAAACTACAAGAAGCTACCTGTCCTTTATGGTTTTGCTGATTTGGAAGGATTGATGCATTTTCAATATTTTGAAGATTGGAAAAACAAAATGAACGAAAAATTTTCTGATTTTTTGCCAGCTGACTTAAAATTTAAATCTGAAGAGGAGAGAGAAGAAGTCGCTACGAAGATTAAACAATTTTACTTCGGTGAGAAGCCGGTCAGTGAAGAGACCATCTTAGGATGCGTTAATTACTTTTCCGATGTTTTATTTACTAATGCAATGCTTTGGGCAACAAAGTTACAAGTGGAAGCTGGCAATAATCAAATATATTTGTATGAATACTCTTTTGTAGAAGAGAGCACACCAATAGTACCATATACCAATGTTAGAGGTGCTAACCATTGTGATCAATCGATAGCTGTAGCCGATGGTACAAATTTTGGACAACCAGATGAATCAAAAGCGACTCCTGAATTTATGAAAATGAAAAGGATAATGCGAGAAATATGGCACAACTTTATTAAAACTGGGTGAGTCAAATTTATAAATGTTGTAAGTCTTTAGTAAATTAAAATACTAGTGAGCTAGTTCTTTTTCGTAGAATTTACATTTTTATAATATGTAGGCACTACAATGACCAAACAAAATGAAGTACATGTGTACAGTGTGAGTATTTTTTAAGAAAATAAGAAAAAAAATGTTCGTATAGTACGTAGTTGTAAGTCTAGCGTCAAATTTAAACTCACCTATGCATTTCAGAAATCCTGTGCCTGAAGGTTCGTCACTGCCTGCGTGGCCCGCGGCCGGCGTTGACAGGTCACCCCACATATCGCTGGGTCAGAAGATAGAGCTGCGTGGCGTACTGCTAGAAGAAAGAACACGCTTCTGGGAAGACATCTACCAGAGATACTACCGGGAGCCTGTACCACCATCAACGCCACCACACACACCACGCACTGAGTTGTAATACTGAAGATCTGTTGTTAACTACCTATCTGGTTCATTGTAATTTCATCCAAGGAGATCACAGTTCTCTTTCACTTATAATATGTATGTACTTTTTTTTTTCTTTTTTTTTTAAGGGGGGAAAATCATCGAATGACTGCTCCCGCCTGGGTGAGGCGGAAGGGAGTGTCAGACTCTTACTGACTAAAAACCACCCCGTTCCTTCTCCTGCACGTCGAGCCGGAGCCCCGGTTACCCGTTAGGTTCTCCGCGACTCCGAATCGGCATCGGCCCTATTGGGCCCCATCTGTGGTGGTCTGATGGCTCTTTGAGGCGCGCGCGGAACGCGACGCGCCGTACGCTCGGGTCTGCTTCTGGTCGGACGGGGAGCCACCCATGCTCGCCGTCCGCAGGCCCGCGCTTACGGTGGCCGGAGATCGTCCCGCGATCCCCGACGCCCGGTGTGTCCTTCGCGATGGCTGGGTTGCGAGGAGGCAGCGCTTCGCTGCCTCACGCGTCCCGCCTCCTCCTTAGCTAGCATGACTGCTTCGAAAAAGGAGAGAGAGCATCCCAGTCCCCCTCGCTCCGCATCATGGCCTGCACTAGGCCCGGACGCGAGAGGTCGCCATCGCCGATCACTTCCCTGAGGGCACGGCGGTGCTCAGCCCACGCAGGGCATTCCGCTACGGTGTGTTCCACCGTGTCCTCAGGGCGATCCTCGCAGTGATGACACCCGGGCGTTTCCTCCCGCCCCATCAGACACAGGTACCTCCCGAAACTTCCATGTCCGGTGAGGACCTGCGTCAGGCGGTAGGTGAGGACGCCGTAGCGTCTCTCAAGCCACTCCTCAAAGAGGGGTCTTACCGCTGCAATGGCAGCGAGCCCAGCCCTCGGTTGCGACAGTCGTTGCTGCCATTCCGCCATGAGATCGCGCCGGAGCTCATAGCTCATCCCGCCACGCACTTATCTGGCGCGGCAGAGGAGTTTCGCCCCGGCAACGTGCCTCCGCGCGCATGCGATACACGCGCGCGAGCACCTTCGCCTCCAGATCCCACGGTGGTGATCCGGCAAGGAGGTTCGCCGACTCCCCGGAGATCCGGGTCAGGTGCGGTATCCGCGGATCATTCGGATCGCCATGACCCTCTGTGACATGAGCAGCGTCCGAGCGGGACGCCGCAGCATGTTCAGCGCCCACACAGGGGCGCCGTAGAGGGCCATGGACCGCACGACCCCGGCGTATAACCTCCGGCAGGAGGCGTTTGGCCCCCCGAGGTTGGGGAGGATGCGTTTGAACGCAGCCCCCGTCCTCTCCAACTTTGGAGCCAAACGTCGGAAATGCTCTATGAAGTTCCACCGACTGTCGAGGACGAGTCCTAGGTACTTCATCGCCGTCTCGACGCCGATGGTAACCCCTCCCGCCGTTATTTGGGACCCACCCGGAGGTGGCGCGTTCCCGCGGCCATGAAAACACATGGCCTCGGACTTGTGGAGCGCCACCTCGAGTCCCAACTGCCGGATTCTTTCAACGACTGTCGCAACCGCTGTCGCCATTAAGTCGGCCGCCGCCTGGTGTGACCTCCCGTGCGCTAGCACCAGCGTGTCGTCGGCGTAGCATATTGTGCTAGCGCCGTTCGGGAGGTCGGTGCGCAGCACCCAGTCATAGCCGATGTTCCACAGGAGCGGCCCCAGAACCGAACCCTGTGGAACACCGCGTGACATCTCTCGCCGGTTCCACTCGCCCCGGTGACCGGGGTAGCTGACGGACCTGTCCGTCAGGTAAGCCTCGATTATACGACGGAGGTAGGTAGGCACCCGATGATATCGGAGTGCCTCCAAGATGCAGCTCCAGGGCAGGGAGTTGAAGGCGTTGGCGATGTCCAGAGACACCGCCACTACGACCTTACCCCTGGACACTGCAGTCCCCGTCGTGAGGTCTCTAACGCGCATGATGGCGTCCACCGTGGAGCGCCCTCTGCGGAAGCCGAACTGGCCGTCCGACAAGTCCGGCCCAATGTCCGTCAGGTGCGCGACGAGGCGGTTCGAAATGATTCTTTCGAAGACTTTCCCCACCTCGTCGAGCAGCACTATGGGCCGGTACGCGGACGGAGAGTCCGCAGGGCGCCCCGTCTTCCGCACGAGGACCAGTTTGCCCGCTTTCCAGAGAAGCGGGAACTGGCCTCTCTCCAGACATGCGCTGTAGAGACCAAATAATATGTATGTACCAGCTGTTGCCCGCGACTTCGTCTGCGTAAAATAATGACTTCTGGCAGAATTTAGGCTTTTGAAATTAGTCTTTATCAAGGGATATTCTACTATAACGAATGTCGTCAGAATTGATTCGATACCTAGTATGGGGCTCCTCCCTGTAGATGAAAGCGTGATAATATGTAGCCTTTATGTTGATCCGACTTGTCAGTAATATTCATGCAAAATTTGAAATAAATCCTTTGAGATCATCCCGGACATACATACAGACAAACAGACAAAAATTCTATAAAAACCATATTTTTGGCTTCAGTATCGACAGTGGATCACGTTACAAGTATTCTTTTAACCGTTTGAGTACCGTCATTATAGACACAATTAAAGAACAATAGGTTGCGGTCACCGGTGTCCTCGCGAGGTTTAAAATAAATTGAATGTACAGTTTTGACTTTTCTACGATTTTATTATATGTATAGATATAGATGACTACTTACACGACTACAACTCTTTATTGTCGTTTTACATGTTTTACATTTCGTGGTTTTAATGTTTATCTTGATGATTACATTATTAACACCATACAGTTGTATATTAACTGCGTACTGTGTATTATACGTGCATTATGACATTGATGCCTAATAAATCTTATTTTTTCTTTTCGACATCAGAACTTCTGGGAGCTGACGAAAGCTATTGTGAGAATCAGAAAGTGTAATTATTATTTTAATTTTAAGCGAATTGAAATGTCGACTTATTAATTATATTTTTAAACGAAGACACACACAGATTTTATTAAAATAAAACTATTAAACAATAAATGGAATGATAAAACATATATAACTTCATACCTTTTTATTTCTCGCAATCTTAATTTTAGGAGGCTGTGCAAAACATAGGAACACATTATTGGTTAAAACCATGACTTGGAAATATTCCGAAATGTTGTCGAGATCAACTTAGTTCATGGCAGTAGCCTTATCTCCTTTTACATTGAACTTATAACATGATATTCGTAAACGTATCGACTTCCATGGCACTTGCAAGAAGAGTACTTCTAGCTGGTGATAATTAAATTGTATAATAACTATCGTTAGACTGCCTCGTTGGCCGAGTTGTCGCAAGTGCGACTGCCGGGCAAGGGGTCTCGGGTTCGTTTCCCGGGTCGGGCAAAGTATTCCTGGGTTTTTAAAAAACTCTCAGTAGTGGCACGGAGTTTGGAATTGTGCCCGGTATATGGCAATAGGCTCAGCCCCTATTGCATGGGACTCATAACATAAATAGTGAAAAGTGGGTGTTACATTGTACAGTGGCATAATGTGCACATCTGCCTACCCCTTCGGGGATAAAAGGCGTGATGTTATGTTATGTTATCGTTAGACATACTAAACTAATTTAGTTTGGTCACGTGAAATACTGAGAAAGCTGTACTATATTTTAGTAGGCTTCTAGTAAACTGCGTGACGACGCCGTCTCCGCGCACTCTGCTCATGATGAAGAGTCCTTCTGTGACTCGAAAGTAGTAGATCTTTTCTCAGTCTGGCACGTGAGGAAACCGGTGTTTAAAATAATTGTATTTTAACCTGCTGTCACCACATGGCGTAATGTTTAGGTCTGATTTTGATAAATGAGTCAGTTATTTATATATCTATGATGTTTTGAGTTTTTTAAATTAGATATCATATCTTGAAGCTATTAAAGTAATTATTGGCGTTGTCCTTTACTATCTTTTTACGGACAAAATGGCATTTTAATTCGATTGTTGTTATTTTTGTCTGTTTAGTTTTAAGGTTCGTTTTTTGTCAAAGTCAAAATCATTTATTTCAAATAGAACAGGAAAGTACATTTGTGCGTCAAATCAAATTATTGAAATTTAAAATATGTCAATATGTCTGTCGGTCAGTCCTCTAGTGAAGCTATTTGCTCGTTACAAAGTGTAGATTACTATGGAGAACAACGAGCAATAAACTCCGTAGGTTATTTTTTTTCAATCAGGTTTACAATACAATTCTTGGTTACATTGTTTTGTTTGTTCAGTTATGTGAGAACAATGTAACACTAATATTCAGTCAAGGAGAAAGAAAAAGAAAATAACCTTGAGGGCAACAATTTTAATAGAGTCTGGAGCTGACCAATCCCAGTTGACAGCGCTTGTTCCAACCAGCACCGCCCAACTCAACATTATTGTAGGGAATCGAGCAATCCACTACCCGTGCCACTGCCAATGAGATTTTTGAGTGAGCATGACAACCCCAAGCTATCATCAGCTCAGTCTGGCACGTGAGGAAACCGATCTGGATAATTATGGATTACGAAATAACATTCACATAATTCAGAAAACCTGAGTTTGTTAATGTAACCTAAAAAATAAAACACATATTTAGTTTGAGCAATCATACTTCACGTCATATTTTTATTTTAGACCAATTAGCGAATCTTATTACTATTTTTTTTTCACTATACATAAACATATACATTATATTACATTCATTAATAATAACGAACGGAATAACTATCGACAGACAGACACAGTAAAATGAAACAAGAAACATACAATATTATATTTTTTTCAAATTTTGGGGCATAGTTCATAGTCGATGGTGGTACAGGCTCCCGGTAATATCTTTGGTAGATGTCTTCCCAGAAGCGTGTGCGCTTCTACAGTACCCACGCAGCTCTATCTTCTGACCCAGCGACATGTGGGGTGACCTGTCAACGCCGGTAGCGGGCCACGCTGGCAGCGACGAATTTTCAGACAAAGGTTTTCTGAAATTTTAATTAAACCATTATACACATTATATATAACATTCCTTCATTACG